ACTTGTGGCACACTGGATATATGGTACTAATCTCATATTTGTATAGGCCCCAACTGGCACTCAGGTAATGGTGTCGTAGATACTAGACATGATTTCTATGATTTTCTATGGAATAAGTAAGTGGAAGCACAGGAACCAATAGTAAAGAAAAAGCTCCATTTTCACGCCTTTAGGCGCATCGGGCATATGGGCGAGCTAACGCATATGTTTTTTAGACCAATCGGCACAGGCGGGTATGTTTCAGCATTACCCAAGGCCCCCATCTTTACGTTTCCCCCCCCTGCATGCCCCATCCCACAATAAAACCCATACCGCGCAGCGGTGGGTTTCCATCGTGGTACGTGGTAAATTACAATGCGTCCGGACTCGCACAAACCTAGTCTAGTGCGTCACTCGCTTCAGGAACCAATAACAGTAATACTTATGGATTCTGGGCCACACAAATCACCCGTTGACAAAGCCTTGACCCGCTGAAACCAGAAAATATCACTACAGAGATTACTAGTAAGAGGCCCTTTTTCCCACACATTCAAAGTCATCTTGGGCATATAGGGCTAGACCATTTTACATATTTACTATAGACCAGTCCGCACTTAGTGGGTCATGTGGTCCCACAACATCACGCTGGCCGACAGACATCATACATGTAGTGACTTATTAGCACAGAATGTGGTGATACAAGGGACCGCACATTTTTTCTGAGTCACTGATATATTCAGAAAGGTAAAAGGAATTGGGAGGAAAAAGACAATCCTAAAAAAAATAATAACCCTCATGTACCACATAACAAATGAAACTGGGAAAAAATACCCACTATAATAAATAACACAATAAAAATATTTTCAACCAAAAGACTCATTGATAAAGTAGCAAAGATGAAAAAACCAAAAAAAAAAAAAGACAATTTTTAAATTATTTACTAAAATTAGCATGTGTGAATTAAAAATAACAAAAATTATGAGAACCAAATATACATGTTGTCCAGAATGGTTTCATATGTTCTCAGGTATTTCAGGCTGTAGTTCCTATACAATACAGCTGTAATATGGTAGGGATTACGTTGTTTTGGCGCTAAATACATGAGAATGATATATATGACATAATGAAGTTTTTTCTGTTATATCGAGACCCCACAATTACAGTTCATGATGTCCCTGTGTAGGTTCCGGCGCTCCTATTTTGGGAGGGTGGGTGGGTGGGGGGTGGGGGGGGGGGGGGGGGGGGGGGGGGGGTAGAAAGAGAAAGGGTAGACCCACAACCCCTAACAGCATGTCTAAACAGTTAATTATAGTTTCTTTCAAATAAACCAGAGCTGTAAAACTGATGTGCACACAAAACTCAAGTTCTAGAGCGAAACTAAAGCCCAGAAGTAGATGAAAAACCAGAGCTTTCTGATGGAGTTTACAATGGGTGAGTGCCAGGAAGAAAAAGAGGATAGTTCATGTTACAAACACATAAAGAAAGAATCTCTTACCTCCCCAACAAGTGATAACAATAAATATATTTACAAAGAACCTCTTATACTGAAACACAAGTGTAGAAGACAAAACCTGAAACCATAAATATAGGATACGATGACACAAGTTATATAGAGACCATGAAAAACTAGATCTCAGATAATGAGAAGAGATCATGAAATATATACTCTTCTATGCAAGAAACCATTAACTCATACAAAATCACCTGTGCGTTGCTTGGGCCCATAAGAAAACCCCAAAATGGAAACAGTGTTACCTACAGGCAATCATAAGAGGTAATTAAGGAAGTAGAATGGCTTCCTAAATCATGTAACAGAAAGATTTTGCTGCAAAATCAAACCGATTATGATCAAAGTCTACCAAGGGTTTGGCATGAGGGCCAGTGTTCCATGAAAATACACAAATGCTCGCGAGAGATCAAATTTAGCATCACAATTTTTATCCAGGTTTCTCCATTGCTTAACCCTGTTGCCTTGGGGGAGGGGAGGGGGGGGGGGGGGGGGGGGGGGGGGGGGGTCCCGGCCTGCAGTAATTTTTTTAAATAACATGACCTCTTTGGGAAGTGGTGAATATGCTGATGTGACAGCTTTGGCACTGGCTATAACTACACAGTGTGTAGTTGTGTGGTGGTATGATTATATTGAACCATAAAACATTTGTTTAAAAAATATTATTTGGGGTGAAAATCCTGGGATTTTTTCTCTCAATGTGGCATCAAAATAAACTTCCCCTGTGTCATTGCGACGACTTTCTTTTGTCTTCTGGCTCTAGTGAGTCATTGCACGCTTCCATTCACCGACTGACAACACACGAGAAAACATGGACACTGTCGAACGATCCAAATTACACGTAGTTTATTTTTTCACTCGCTGGTATTGCAGCCAGTAAATGTTAATGGACAACATAGTCACTCACTTATCTAACATGTCAACTTATAATCTAACATCCATCTCACAATTGAATGAACAACAACGATTCCTTCCGATCAAAAACACAAAACATTCTCAGCTGGCTACGACTTCCGTTCGTCTGGTCAGCATTTCTCGTGTTACACTTAAAATATTCCACTTTCATTAATTACTGACGTCATTACGTCTGGGCATAATTTATCTAGGAGAAAATGAGGCTCACTACAGTCATCAAAACCAGTTTTCATGGTAATGGGAAGGACAGCATATAATTTCAATAAACACCTTATTAGTAACCTTTTACAACATGCATGTTGGGGGGGGGGGGGGGCAATTATCTTCCCCACCTCAAAATGGGGCCCCGGAAACCACACAGGGAAGTGTGCATACATTATATTGACAAACTCTGTAAATGGAAATTTTCAGAATAATTTGAGAGCCAAAAACAAAATAAGACTGAATGCATATTTTTCATCATTTTTGTAGTGTTCACTGTTTATAAACACTCTGGTAGAAAGTTCTGGTTGTTCCTCAACTTTGTCCTGTTCTAGAACTTGAGTTTTGCATGAGTGTTTGTTTTATAGATCTCGCTTGTGCGCAGACCTTTGCTCACCTCGCCTTACAAGCAGAAACATTCTGACTTCAAAGGAAACACTCCTGATTATTTACCTTTTTATGACAAGCTTGTTGGTCGGCGTCTGTGGCTTAGGCGTTGTGAACAAGCTTTGTAATGCCTGGGCTGCTGGGTTCGATCCCCAGCTGCGGGCCTTGCACTGGTTTCAACAGTGGTATCAAGAAGCCAACCATCCAGAAAGCAATGGCAAACTACTGGACGTAAATTTGCAAAGAAAAACCACCACTTCCAAAAAATGCTGGGGTTGGTTCTGCAATGTCTTGTAAAGTATATGCAATTAACTTTTTAAAAACGTGTTGAAGGTCGCAGGTCTATTCTTTTTTTTCTCTCTAAAATTCCACACAGGTGCTCCCCTCCCCTCCCAAGTGAAGGACATAAATAAACTGTCATAAATGTCAACTTTAGAATATGCTGTCATAAATGATGGAAATGGACAGAATTAATTTTTATGTGAAAACGTGGGATTTTCAAACATGAAATCAATAGTAAACATGAGCACCACATAGAATGGTTCTATACAAGAAACTAAAAGCGCAGTGTAGCAATTTCCTTTACTCAATATATGTCGTTACTCATATTCAATGACTCAAAAACCACTGACGCAGATACGAGCATCTAATACATATATCTGTAAACCCCACTGCTGTTATGTTGTTGTGTTCCGGCATTTGTGTCATTTTTCATGTAGTCGATTCTTTTCTGTGTCGACTTTGGCTTTCTATCTTGTTCTTTGTGAAGTTCTATAGTTAATACATTTCGATTAAAAAGTCTCATCTGCAAGTAATCTAATTATCTAGAATTAATGCTGGTCTCCGAAACTGTTCTGTTTATTTTCTGTTGTTGAAGATGCTGCTTTTGCTGCAGAGGACACCATCTGGAAATGCACACACATACGTTTATTAATAAGCATGGCATCTTTAACATTTGGTCTGACAATATTAACATAACCTGGCTGATCCTGTTTGTTTTAGCGAGTCATCACTATTCTGCTGTGCCGTTATACGTCACATATGGCTCGCAGTGTATTATTCCATCCTGTTCTACCTTATGCAATTGTTTCACTATAATGGATGTACCTCTCATCAACGTTCGCCTTAGATTTCTTTTGGACACCCTCATTTTTTGATAATATTTATGGTAACTGTTTGTAAACAAAAAATGTAGATCTTAGCCCAGTAGCATACCCCCAACTGTCAATATTTTTGGTAACATAAAACCATTCCTTCGGCCCGGCGCGCTAGCTAGATTGGTTAAACTAGCTGCGCGACGACCGGGTGACAAACTCTTTGTGGTCCGAGTTCACGCCCTGGGGCAGACAGAAAAGCAATATATTTACCAGATTTACAGTATCTATCGTGGAATCAAGGCCAAAGTGTTGCGCTATTCATAGTACAGAGCCAAAAGGTTTACAACTCATAGTTTTTGAATCAAAAAAATATTTTAAAAAACCCATTCTCTCCAAAGGATTCATGTATCTAGTAGATTATGAGTAGATATTTTCTAGAAACAGTATCCAGGTACTGAAGTATAAAGAATATCACAAGTAAAGAGTGTTTATCATAAGAGTTCATGTTAGGGGTAATTGACAGAATGAAGTATTTTTGTTGACTATTCACTGCTGTTATATTTATGAATTACATCAAGGGTATCTGAACTGTCAGTTAGGTAAAGCACCCTTTACCTGACAGTGGTGCACTGGGCATATGATGCTAGCTCCACATTTTTATACACTAATAACAGACATCACCAGTAAAGGGCCGATAGGTCTAGAAAATATTAATAGCATCATATGCCTGCTATTGGCGTGTAAAAAGACCTCTACTTATTTACTTTTAATGCGCATTCACCTGGCCAATGTGATCAACATCAAGCCAGCCACCCAGGACATTTTCTGATACCCACTGTAGGATACTGTCCCCCTTGTTATTGTGGTTTCTGTTGAGAAAGGCTCTGGCCAAAACATCTTTTTCTTGCGTGTGTACATTGTCCCCCCCTTCCCTCCCCACCCTTTCCCTTCATTTAGCTTCTTTGTCATAGATCAGTGGACTAATTTCCAGTTTCAGCTAGTGTGAATTACAAGCCCAAATCAATTAATAAACATTCTGCCCCGATGTGTATTTAACCCCAAGATTTTTGTGTGAGCAGGCACACAACCGCGGCTTCCATGTGAACTGTGATAATGACAAAGAACAATTCTTTGTGTCATAAATAATGCAGCGTGTATTAAACTACTGCTTGTGTGTATCAACTAGCACATGGTGTTATCTTCTTCTTCATGCTAACCAGCTGTAAACTCTGGCGGAAAGTTCTGGTTGTTCATCCACCTCTGGACGGTTAGTCTCCCCTCCCAGAACCTGAGTGTTGCGTGCACATCCGTTTTATGGATCTGACTTATCTGTATGCAGACTGTTGGTTCCTTGCCTCAGGCAGATGCACACCGACTTCGAAGGAAGCCCCCAATTAGTCAACTCCTACGACAGGGTGTTAAGGAGGCAGTGGGTCTATTCTTGCTTTCCCCACAATAAGGCCCCGAACCCACACAAGGAACATGGTGTTTAAAATACCTCAAAATTCTCTAAGCATACTAAAAAATATGGCTAGATCTCGTTTGTCAAATTCACTTGTAATGTAAGCTGTTAATTTGTAATATCTAAATTTAGTTAAGCAGAGTACTCTTTTTATGCCAGTGGTGCAATGGGTACATGATGCTAGACTCATAATTTTTAGACCAATCGACATTCAGTGGGTGATGTCGCCAACAGCATGCCACTTGCCTTTACTTCCCAGAACATTTTCTGTTACTCATGTCAGACTGGGGTGACCTGGGAGACAAGGTAAATTTGGAAAAAGTCTACCTCAATGTGGATTCTAACTCAAGACCTTTGATTAGCCTGGCAGGCATCCAGTCACTATGCCATCAGGGTACTCTATAGTTTGGTAGCAAGTGCTAAACTATTAATACGTCTTTTTTTAATTACATTTTATCACTTCATCATAATTTTTTTTTTTAAAGGCTTTTTGTGTTACACTTTCTAAAACTAGATGCCCACAATTTTCTGGTACCCACTTTACAAGGTTTGATTAACTCTAGGGCTTTAAGGCTTGGAAAAATAATCCGGCCACTGTATTGAATTGAACCTGACTCTCCCAGGGTGGGTTATGGGGCCTCATTGTCAGGGAGGGAGTGTACAGAACAGGTACACTGCCACCTGACAAGCACATATAATAACAGGTGTGACAATACGCTCGGTGACTCCAGAATGTCTTTCCTCAACCTACTTTTATTTCTTTGTATTTTGAAAGTATACAGGAAAATAGGGATTTGGATACATCCTTAATCTAAGTAAGACGACCACATCAAAACTTTAATTCTCCTGGACCGTTGGTCATATCAAACACTACAACTGTTTCCCAGATGTTAAGTGTTAAGGTACAGAGATAAGACTGACCAAGCAGACTTACTGACTGGAGATTTGCACACCATTTGTTGGTGTCAGATATTTATTCCCCCTGCCAGACCTTCAGGAACAGATAACAAGGGCTAATTGCCATTATCTCCCCCTGAGGTTACCTAAACTGGAGGGCCGGCCAGATCGTCAATATTGACACAGTGAGCTGAAAGTGTTGGCAGAAGAATTGACAAAGTCTGATTTTATTGTGATGACAGGTGAAGTAGACTGGAGGTGTGACTTGGCCTATTAGCTTAATTGAACCTGTAGAAGGTGACCGTGGGAATTTAAACAAGTGTTGTACAGCCCTGACTGACAGCGAATAAACTTACCCACAGGGAGGAGCTGTGATATCCTTGAATGAGAATGATTTTAGGCGTAATGTAGGAGGGGCTTAATAAAAGTTATAAAGGGGTGAACTCTTGGTCTGGTAAATGAGATCCTGTCCAGCACAGGCCATCTGTTGGGCTTAACCTAAGCTTAAGAAAGAACTTTTGGCATCGTGGTTTCATTTTCCAGGTAAGATCGAAATTAGGTTCCAATCTATATTTTGTGATAGAAATCTAACTGTCTTTTTACTCAAGTGTGTGTCTTCATCACTTTGTAGTACTCCTAGGCGGACATTTCTTCATTCTCGTAGGGCACTGTCATATTGCTTTATATCCTATTTGATAGTGTCATGAATGTTTTTTCGTGCACATGTGTTTCAATGTTGTAAAACCTAAATGTTGTTGTTGCCATTGAAATTTAATGAACTATCATGTTTTAGAAATCACAAGCGTGAAGATAACTTTGGCAATCTTTTCACGTGTGGTTAATGTGAATCTGTATTACATACAGCTTACACACTGAAATGTGTTTAACTCTCGGGAGGCTAATGCGGAGATTGATCCCGGAGAGTAAATCCCTGAGATTTCTTATTCGATTCGCCTCAGAAATATTGTTAGCTTTCTGGGCGCGTCTATTGTTCCAAGCATGGATTCCAGAACTGGTTCTGTCTGACTGAGTGTCATTTGAGTCTGTACGAGAGATGTCACCTGACGTAGAAGACTTGACTATCATTACAGGACGTGTAGAGGAAGGCAGAAGATGTAACAGTTGGAATGTGAGACATAAGCCCTTCCAAATTGGACAGGAGTGAATGTGAACATGAGGGAGAGATGAAATGTTTTATTTAAATAAACATGTTTGATATTATAATATACATGCTTAGTGTACATCTAGAGCAGATACTACAAATATGCGCTTGTTTCTTTATCACAGTTCCCACATTGGGCAGGGACTAGTAGGCATCCATTATTTGCCGACCGTCTGAGTGTAACGACCTGCTGAAAGCAGTGAGGACGACAAACTGGAAAAGATAGGCAGGGTCTCAAGCCGAGAACTGTCCAAAGGTTGTTACTTTCCAATACCTTTATGATTTCATCATTCACATCAACTCTACTAGCCTAAACAAGTTCATTTTAATTTCGATTTATTCAAATAAATCATGTTTGATGTTGTTACCACATAGTTGAGTAAATTGTGTACTTAGGTTCAAGTGTCTTTGTGCATATTAGTTTACTTCAGCTAACAAATATTTAAATCACTTGATGGGGGCTTTTAAATAATGCCAGGAGAGGAGAATAGTCGGAGGGGTTAACTGTGTATCGAGATAATATCACAGTGGGTGTATCCTGATATCTATCTATCCCTTCTCCTACTCCTGTGGATACAAGTACAGCAACTTTCATTTCATGGAACGAGCCACTCGCTGTTTTCTTGGCTATCCAGGACTGTCTAGGATCAACATAGCTTAGATAATAGTCCAGTTTCTCACGTGGGTGGGCATTGTTAAGGATCAAACCCACACCCTCACTATTTCAGTGTATTTACCCACGTGGGCGCGCGACGACAGGCGACTAATTAAAGGATTTGCTGAAATCCGATGTGTTGAGCAAAAACTTGTAAACATAGCAGTCTAGCTGTAAACCCTAGCAGAGAATACCAACTGCACTTGTAAGGTTTAATGAAGAAGAAGAGAAGAACCTAAAGCACCATCTTAGAAAGAAAACACACTAACTAGAAGGTCAATGTGGGTCCTATGATTAGATAATGCAACTCTAAACAAATTATTAACATTGCTTACTGATTAGATAATGCAACTCTAAACAAACTATTAACATTGCTTACTGATTATAGATAATGCAACTCTAAACAAATTATTAACATTACTTACTGATTAGACAATGCAACTCTAAACAAACTATTAACATTACTTACTGATTTGAATAACTGCACAGATAAAAAGTTGGATGCTAGCGATGTAATGTTTTTCTTTGCTCCAATTCTGCATCTCACATAGCCATAAAGATTTGCACCATTCATACAGAAACCGACTATCACAAGCATCTGCAAACAAAAAATTATCACCATATTGGTTATCATTTCTAGTTACGCTGCAAGCAAGTCAACGGGGGGGGGGGGGGGGGGGGGGGTGGGGGGGGGGTTGAGGGGGGGGGGGGGGGGGGGGGGGGGGGGGGGGGGGGGGGGGGGGGGGGTTGGTCTCTTCCCCACGTCTCTTGTGTCTCTTGATGCAGAATTTTTTCAATTGATCTCCGCTCCCAATTTGACCCAGCCAAAAATGGGCATATAAACGTTCCTGGGAAAGGAAGGCAGCTGGCATGATACTGAGCATATCACCTATCAAGTGCAACCGATCTATAAAAAAAAGAGTCTGATATATTCATCCAGCCTTGATGTGAAAGCAGAATTCTCAATGCCCATAGACTGAATGAAAGCCAAAACCATAATAAGGAAGGTACTTATCAGCGAGCTCCTGTTTGCAGATGATGCAAATACCTACCACCCTCTCAGATGAGGAGCTGCAATGTTTACTATCTGCATTTGCTGATGCAGACTGTAAATTTTGACTAACGATCAGCAAAAAGAAGACAAATGTTATGACACAAGTAATAATAACAGACTTGAGGTTTACAATGATGGTGAAGAGCTGGAGACAGTTGACAATTTTACCTATCTAGGATCCATAGTGAATGTCAAATTGTCGCTGCACAAAGAAAACAACACCAGGATAAGTAGGGCAGCAACTACAATGAACAGATTAACAAAAAGAGGTTGGGGAAAACAGAAAGCTCATGATAAAAAAAATTTAAAAAATTCTTGTCTTTCAGGTTTGTGTTCTCAGCACTTTGCTTTATGGTAGTGAAACTTAGACAACTTATTCGCACTAGGAGAGGCAGCTAAATAGCTTTCATATGCGATGCCTAAGAAGAATACATGGCACTAAGCTGGAAGACAAGATCATAAACACTGAAGTAATGCAAACAGCAGATATTACAACAGTTTCTCGATACTTAGTTTACATAGGTTCAGGTGGTTAGGTCACACCTGCAGAATGGAGGATGGCAGAGTCATTAAGGGCATCCTCTATGGTGATATCAATGTGTGCAAGCAGGATATGAATGATACAGGTACTGAGGTGGACTCATTGGAACAAAATGCCATGGACTGTGTTGTGAGGAGGCAGCAAACCAGGAAAGGAATGACAATGAAGGAAGAAATGATTGCAGAAAGGATGAGAGCTGGGCGTTTAAGAAGAAACACTAAACAATTGATGGTATCAAGGGTCTTGAAATCCCATACTAAAACTGTGGAAGACTTTTCTTAATGCGAGCGGGTCTGTAATTCTCATGCCTTCCTATAGCATAATACTATTGCTTGGAAGGTTGGAAAGGTGCCAACAAAACATTAACCGTATAAAGTGAAACAATTAAAACACAAATTTATAATATACATTATTTGGACCTGTTCCCGTTTCCCGGCCTATCTACACTTTCTCAGTCTGATCTAGGTCAGAAAGGTGTCATGTTTTACTGCTTTCTTCAAAAGGAGTCTCTTGTGTGACCTAGGTTGAAGCTGTGGGTAGATGGGTTTGGGTTAGGGCCAGTTCTAAAGGTTCTGGGGGGTCACTGAAAGCTGTGTCGTGTAGTGCAGAACATGCGACATCAGCGCTGATGTAATTGGAGGAAAAACAAAGTGACACCCCTCTGACCTAGAAGAGTCTCAGAAAGTATTATGAAAGATCAGGCAGTATGTAGATGGGCCAGGAAATGTGAACAGGACCTATTATTTACTTACAAGCCACTTTAAATTCAGTCGAAACAGTGCACCGAAGAAGAGAATACCCCAGACGATTTGGCAAGCCACAAGTGCCAGCCAAAACACTCTTGCTTCAGCTGCTGAAGTTTTAATTGCACCAGAACCCTGGAGGAGCAAAACATTTTTATATTCATTTATTATCAAATTACTTTATAGTTGTTTGTGCATTAAATTACTTTATAATTGTTTTGTGCAGTAACTTTCTTTATAGTTATTTGTGCATTAAATTAGTCTATAGTTGTTTGTGCCTCAAATTGCTTTATAATTGTTTGTTACCTTAAATGAAAATTTTTTTTACTACTGATCTGTGAATGTTTAAATATATTTTTTTTATTACAGCATTAACAAGAACTAAAAATTGTTATTCTTGTTTTAAAATTTCCCGTGTAGGCTCCGTTGTGGGGGAAAACAAGAATAGACTCACTGCTTGCTAAAAATTATGTCGTAAGAGTTGACTAATCAGGAGCTTCCTTCGAAGTCAGAGTATATCTGCCTGACAGGCAAGAAACCAACAGTCTGCATACAAATGCCTCAGACCTGTGAAATGGATGTACCTGCAACACTCAGGTTCTGGAACAGGAATAGAGTCCAGAAGTGGATAAACAACCGCTGGAGTTTACAGCCAGTGAACGAGAAAAAGAAAAAGAAGAAGAAATTTTAAAATAAATAATCACAAAGAATATAAGGTTCATGACAATATGCTATTTTCTTGAAAAAATATGTATCAAAATTAACCATAATAGATATGAAATAGCAGAGAAATAGTGAAACATCTAAACTGTAACATGTCTAGTATTTTTCATCTTACAGTGTTGGTAATCACGTCTATCCACACCTTATATCTTGTGCACTTGAAGTTAATTCTGGCACAGGTGATTTTTCATGTTGTGATGACATCTTTTTTCTCAGTCTCCCTTTGCTTCTTTCCCCCTGTCATGTACTCCAGTTTTCACACAACCAAAGAATGCAGACTGTCTCCTTCTGATGCGGGCAATCAGTTTTTTCGTAAGTCATTTTCTTTCAAGACATCCTCATTACTCTTGTTGTTCTTCTCGTAAGTCAACCTCTTTCAAGACATCCTCATTACTCTTGTTATCTGTCCAGGATGTTCTCATTATACGTCTATTAAACCAAACCTCCTCCACTTCCATGTAATTTTTCACTAACTGACCCACTATCTATGATTCACTTCTGTATCCTCATCCCGTATCACTACGTATCATTGGGTCACCAGTTTCTGTTCAAAATCTGATCAGCTCTCTCCACCTTTGGCAGTCAGTTGCCATGGACTTCATGGCTGCATGCCTGTTGTTGTTGTTATCGATCAAGCGGCGCATGAGCTTTTCCGCCCTTTGGCTCAAGGTCATTTAGTGGAATTTGCATGTTTTCACAAGCTGTTCTTTTCCTCCATACAAGGTGTTCCACTTGTCCGGTCTCAGGGGGAGTAGAATTCTTCTAGTCTCACTGAGTTTTGGGCACGCAAAGAGATGGTGTTCAACAGTTTCGTGGGGGTAGTTACATAGCTGGCACTCAGGGAAGTTTTGTGGCTGTATTCTGTTTAGATGTCCACTGAGCGGAGAATGTTGTGTTCTAAGTCTGAAGATGGTGGCCTGGTCCCTTCTTGTTAGATGGGTAATGCTGTCATTAGGATCAGGGCCAGCCATATGTCCATAAACATCTCTTCCAGTGTCTCCCATGGCCCATCTGTTCAACCAAGTCTCTTTGTTTATAGCTCTTATAAGTGTTTTTGCTGTCTGTAGGGTTGTCACTGTAAGTGGTTGTTCTTGTGTTGCTCCTTTCTTTACCAGTCTGTCAGCTCTGTCATTACCTGGTGTGCCGGAGTGGCCTGAAATCCACTGCATCCCTATTCTGATGTTGTATGAGGTAATAAGCTGATCAGCATCCAGGATTATCTTGGCTATGTCAGTTCTGCAGCGTTCACTGCCCTCCAGAGCTTGCCTGAGGCCTGTCCAGTCAGTCAGGTTTTGTAACCAGGTCTTTCTTGGTCTGCATCTTCTCCTGTTTCCCTCTGCTGAGCCCTGGAGTATTGTTTTTGAGAGGCTGTTAGATTTTACTACATGTCCACACTACTGCATTTTTTGCCTGTTCACTGTAGTTAAAAGAGTTTCATAGTTGCCAATATGCTGTATAATTTTATGGCGAAACTCTTTGTTTGTCATGTGGTCTCTATGATATGCCAAGAATTTTTCTGAAACATCGCTTGTATCTTTCTATCAAGTTCAGCTGTTAAAGTCAACATTTCACAGCCATGTGTAAAAGTACTAATAGCAGTGCTCTGAGCAATCAAATCTTAGTTTTGCATGAAATATTTGTGGATCTCCATAATGTTTTCAGCTTGGCAAGGACTTTTATGTCACTTCTGTATATCAGGACAGAATTTACACTGTCTCTTCTGTATATCAGGACAGAATTTACACTGCTCTTGAGAATTCTTTTTCTCACCTCAACTGACAAAGAAAGACTGCAGAGAATATTCTTTATTTTCTGAAATGCTGCTGCCTTTGTTTGAGCTATTCTAACTTCTTTAACATATTTTTGCCTGTTGTTATCAGTGTGCTCCAGTACTTGGCTAGCCAATCCACCTTTTTGTTGTCAATAACATGCAATGTGATGTAATCCATTGTAGGAATATTTAAGACTTTCATAATCTTCAAGAACACTGATAAGCACAGTTTCTTCTTCTTCTTCTTCGCGTTCACCAGCTGTATACTCTGGTGGAAAGTTCTGGTTGCTCGTCCACTACTGAACTGCAGTCATGTTCCAGAACCTGAGTGTTGGATGTGCATCAGTTTTACAGATCTCATTCTTTTGAATACAGACTGTTGGTTCCTTGCCTCTCCGGCAGATACACTCTGACTTCAAAGGAAGCTCCCCAATTAGTCGACTCTTACGACATGCTTTTGGGGAGGCAGTGGGTCTATTCTTGTTTTCCCCACAATGGGGCCCCAGAACCCACACGGGGGGCACAGTTTCTGACTTGTTGTCTGTTGTCTATGTCAAGCAAAACAAGCAAGGAACTAGCAACAGGATAAGTACACACATTTCTGATGGTTGGAGTTTCAATGAGGCAGATTACTGTAAATTACAACTCATCAATCTAACTAGCAACAAGGAAGTTAGAAACATTTCTGATAATTGGAGTATCAATGAGGCAGATTACTGTAAATTACAACTCATCAATTTAACTAGCAACAAGGAAGTTACAAACATTTCTGATGATTGGAGTTTCAATGAGGCAGATTACTGTAAAATACACTGCATGAGGGGGGGGGGGGGGGGGTCTGCGTGGTATCAAGGCATAGAATCTGCCTCAAGTGCTAGAGGTCCCGGGGTCAAGCCCAGGTTAAGGCTAGGATTTTTTCACATGGACCTCTAGTAATTTTCCCCTGTCTCTGGGTAGTAAGAACGGATGCCAGTGTGTATTGTTGCGCACATAAAAAAATCCCTTGGCAGTTAGAAATTGAAAAGAGTAGCTTAATGGTGCTGCCCGGGCAAAAATTTAGAGTTACAAATCTACCCAATAAGTATTGCAGGATCCTTGCCGGTGCAACATAGTTCATGCACTGTGCTGAGATTCTTCAGACTACGGCTTGAGTTAGAAGAAGAACGGAGGCCTTATGGGTTACACCCGTGTGCCATGATGTTGATCCGCTGAATAAACAAACATAAACACTGCATCAATCTTTTTTAAGAAGCTGGTGTTCTTCACTCTAGTCCTAGAACTTTTTTTGTGGTAAAATTAATTTATTTAGTTTAAGATACATACTTGCACCTACATGTACAATGGTGTTCTCAGCTATCAACCAGTGTATGCTTGTGTCCAGACCAAAGGACTGAATGCATCATTGTTGCAATTAATAACCAAATGTATTTTCTTATTTGAGCTCCTGCAGAGGAACTTCTTATAAATTTAAAGGAGCAATGATTTACAATGAGGTAAAGTAAAACTGTGCTGACAGAGTAAAACAGAAAGACAACACCAACAGACAGAAGAAACAAAATGACATTAGACTGTACCATCTTGGTAAGTGACAGACAATGGAGGAGATCCAGTGCAGTTGATCTTCCCTTGAAAAAATGGCAACTGATCATATCAAAACTGTGACCAAAGGTTTTAAGGAAAAAAAAACTTCAAATCTGCTGACTTGGACACTCACCTTCCTGGATTCATATATCCAGTGGCTTTCTCCTTTTTCATTTACATAATTCCACCATCTCAATCCAACTAATAATCTCCCTGAAGAAAAAAAAACAGTAGTGTTTATAAGAAAACTTCTCAAGACAGTAATTACTTTATTGCGTTCAGAACTGTAAACGTAATTTAAAGCACTATGGCAGAATTACGCACCAGCAAATAAAATAAGGTTTATTTTACGCCAAAACTGACCTTGGCTCCCAGGTCAAACCAGCCTAAAATAAGTATCAGGTAATGTCCTAGGAAGTAAAGTTGGCCAGAATGATAACAACCACATCACTCTCTGACTGGTGACTGGTTATAAAAAATATGAGTCCCGAAACATATGCCCAATATACCATATGTGTAAAAAGAATCCTTTACTGACTTATTTGTATTTAAAAAAAAAAAAAAGTTTAGTGATATACATCAATTTAATATTGTAATTTTACGAAGAGACAATTTTATAAAGAGGTAAAAGCTGTATGCACAAGGGAGCTGAATGGTCGAAGACCATGAGGCAGACCAAGAAGATTACGGAGAGATAAGTCCAGTCAGACATGAAAACACTTGGTGTCACCAACTGGAAAGTGAAGGCCAACCAGAGAGATAAGTGGAGGCGGGTGATATCTGCAGCAATGCACCTTAAGGGCTCGGAATGCTGAAGAAGAAGAATTCTACTAAGGCTGACCCTTAATGCTTCTGAGAAAACAGGAGGCTTTCAGAGTGAACCGAAGTAATCTGTGCATCTCATGTAGTACTAAATGAAGTATGAACCATACGTATCATGATACCACCTAGAGGTGCTCTACATAAAGCAATAATGCTCAGCTATAATTCAGACCATCCCGCTCAAATGGATTAACAACACTATGTGCATGAGGCATACGTAAAAGCTCAATAAAAATAACACTTTAGTTTCTGATACTCAGAGGCCTAATAAGTAGCTTAGAAAAAAGCGATGGAAGAAAAGATATGTTAACCAACACAAAAGCTGAAACAGAACTTAAAACACAACACAGGCATGAAAATGCAGGAGGCAGGAAAAAACATTTTGTCTTTTTGAAAGGTGATAAAAAGACATTCTGAACAGGGCCTACTATATGACGATGCTAATGATCAAAGGTAAAGTGGACAAGAGAGAAAACTTTTCTTTCAGTGTTCAATCTGCTTAGTTATTTGATTATGGGTATGTGATTTGTATCATAAGTATAAATGTTGACTGTGATAACTATGTATGATCTCAGAAAACAGGCACTTAACTTTGTAATGTCTTGATAAAGGTTTAAGCAGTAAAAGCTTGGGGTTATCGTTTTTCAAGCTGTCACCTTAAGCTTTTTTTCTTCTTCTTCTTCGTTTCACTGGCTCTAAACTCCAGCAGAAATTTCCAGTTGTTCAACCACTTCTAAACTTTTAGACTTGTTCCAGAATCTGAGTGTTGCATGTACATCCGTTTTACAGATCTGACTTATTTTTATGCAGACTGTTGGTTCCTTGCCTCTAAGGCAGATGCACACAGACTCTTTCGACAAGCTTGGGGAGGCAGAGGGTGAATTCTTGTTTTCCCCCACAGTGGGGCCACGGGACCCACACGGGGAACCTTATGTTAAGGCCCAGTGAATAATGTCACTACACTTCAGACAAACTTATGGGTGCTTTTCTTCTCCCTCATCATTCGTCCGAGCGATGTAACTGCACTGTGCCTGCATACAGCACAGATATTTGCACATTTTGGCAGACACATCTGACTTCATCTGACATTTGTTCACCAGGCTAGCCTTCGATTGATCCGTTTCTACCTCAGCAGGCTTAGCAAGTGTGCATGCTAAATTTCCTCACAGCACACAGATGACATGAGAAATAACAGTCATGAATGCAGTTACCTGAAACACAATAAAAGCAATGATCACTACTGACCTGTGATGTTTTTAACTGTCCAGAAATCCATACAAAGAAGAAGCACCACAACCACAAAGTTAGTGATGAAACTGGAGCTAAACCAGCCACACAGTATATAGGCTACCAAGGCTGAGACACGAAAGAATATGTGGAAGAAGACTGCAACTGGGTGCCTGAAATGACAGAATCATTCAAAGCATAAACAAAAACTAACCCCACATTTCCACTGGACTTCTCAACACTTGATTGGTTCACTGAGTAAGGTATGGCAACAAGAAAAACAAGTCTGTTTAAGATTTTCTTGGTGTTTTTTAAAATTCTTTTTTTCACGTTCGCCAGTTTAAACTCCAGCAGAAATTTCTGTTGTTCATCCAACCCTCAACTCTGATCTTGATCCAGAATATGAGTCCTGTGTGTCCATCTGTATTAATAGATCTGGCTTATTTATGTGCAGACAGCTGGTTTCTTGTCTCTCTGACAGGTGCATTCTGACTGTGAAGGAAATACCGCTTATTAGTTGCCTCTTACGACATGCTTGTGAAAGGGCAGTGTGTCTATTCATGTGTCTCCAAAATAGAGCCAGGGAACCCATTTTGAGATTTTTGAAATTCAAGTTTGGTTTCTGCAGACAAAAAGGTATTTGGATGCAACTACCATTTACACTCTGCACTGGAGCAGAGACATCACAATGGCTAACATCTTTGAGCAAATATGTATTCCCTGTGTGAATTCTGGCAACTTTTAGGGTGGGGGGGGGGGGGGGGGGGCGAACAGACCCATTGACTCCCTAACAAGAACGTTATAAAAAGTGACTAACTACAGATTTTCCCTCCCAAGTCAGAACGCATCTGCCTGTGTATCAGGGGGAAAAAAAAAAGTCTGCATAGAAGTAAGCCAGATCTGTAAAATAGATGTGCGCTGCCAAATTCAAGCTCTGAAAAAAGACTACAGTCCAGAAGTGGACGAACACCCAGAACTTTCCAACTGGTGAATGCTAACAAGAAAAAGAAGAAGAAAACTATGATATGGTCTATCCACTGACTTAGGTTCCCAGTCTGAATGCTTCAAGGATCACCATATTTCCATGTAGATATGAAGCTTAAGTAAAGGTATTAGAATCATATTAATTTATGTGCTTAGAGAGAAAGGAAAGCCCTGCACAGAGAAGGTATTTCAGTCCTGCCCCAGAAACAAGTCTCTACACCAGGCTCACCCTGAAAAATGCAAACCTGTTTAAGAGACAAAATGAACATCAAAAAGGCAGATTCAAGAGTCTGACATCCAACCTTCAGGGGTCTACCCACTGACCAACACTGCAACATCTGCTGAGGGAATGAAGCATCTATCGGTCTGACTAGAGTACTGGAACGTCAAAGAAACATATAAAATACACCCATGCAGTCATATGTTACTAATAACCATAGGTGATATGAAGTAGATGCTTAATTCAAATTGTTGAACAGTCAAATAATAATTAGTACTTACCTACTTAACAATTTAATATCTTTAAACTGTTAACTGAAATTAAGCTATAAACAAGTAAGAAAAAAAATTACTAGCAATAAAGATGTGAATAAAAAAAAATTGTGCCAAAAGATACTAACCTCAATCTTTTATCTTTGTCTACTTGTTCATCCTCTTCACCAAAGTTCAGTGTCTCTTCTGATTCCTCTAAAAGGCTTTTCTGTGGGGGGAAAAAGTATCCTACAGTTGCTGTGCAACATAACACTTTATATTTAGAAGCCTTAACTGTGAAACCAATAAAAGAAACAGGTGCTTCAAACAAAAATGTGCACATAAATAAAACAATAGTCTGCAGCATCAGCCATCTTCTTCTGTTCCTAATGTTCACTGGCTGTTGTAAACTCTGGCGGAAAGTTACGGTTGTTCTTCATCCAATTCTGGACTTTGGTCTAGTTACAGAACTTCAGTTCTGCATTTTACAGATCTGGATTATTTGTATGAAGATAACCGGTTCTTCATATTTCAAGCAGATGCACTCCAACTTCAAATACCGCTACACAGTCGACTTTTACGACATGCTTGTTAAGGAGGTCGTGGGTCTATTATTTTCCATCCGCCCTGAGAATGGGGCCCCAGAACCACATGGGGAGTTTTAACCAATGGATTGAGTTTTTTGTTAACATCCATAGAGATCTGGCATACATGTCCCATAAGGTAAGCAAATAATAAAATAGAAAACTATAATGAATGCGATAAGAAGTATTAAATATAACACAAGCTGTAACTAGAAATTTCAACAGACAGAACGTGAACAGATGTACACACAAAAAACTGGAAAAGATGTGCAAAAATATGGTCAAATCTTTTGACCAAATTCTTTATCAACTCAGTATTAAATACATCACAAACTGTGATTATAAAATGCAACGGACAAGGTGACACAGCTTATAAACAGTGACGGTCAACAGTAAATCACAAATATGTAAAAAGAGAAAATATGAACATTAAAGGCTATATTATGTAGTGAAACAAATTAGCAGTTTGGAAAAACACAAAAAAAATATAAATAAAATAAATAAAAAATTATTAATTACAAAAAGAAAAAAGGTTAATGTCAGACTGGCAACCTCATCATGTAAGAAGGAAACATAGGCTAGAAATTTAAGCAAGTCTACGAATGCTTCGGGGTGAGATGGTTTAAGATGAAAGACAGAAAAAGAAAGGTATCTAGCTGCAACAAGGACTTTCACTTAAATGAAATATATGTCTGGTTTGTAGGGCTCCATTTTGGAGAACAACGAACAGATCTACTGCCCTAACCCAAGCATGTCATAGAAGGTGACTAATTAGTGGTGTTTTCTTCAAAGTCAAAGTGCATTTACCCGAGAAGCAGAAACTAACAGTCTGCATACCAATAAGCCAGATAAATATATCTTATATAGACTTGTTCAGGGATTATAAATATATTACATTCTCTATTGTATTTATTTTACACCACCCCCTCTGCCACTTTTGTAAAGGGAAATTTAAGCGAGCAAAGTCTGTAAAAATTCAAGGACCTGAGATGATTCAAGAATCGACATCAGAGCACTCTGAGCATTTCCATGAGCACTCCGTCCCCATCTTCAGCAGCCAGCACAGTTCTAATACCAATGATGCCAGCAACAGTCTAATTATATGCTTGTCTTGCTTTTCCAGTATCGAGTATCAACCATCATCACTTCTTGCTGCATTACTCTCACCAGATTGTGATGATTGATTTGCTGTTCTGAATTGTAAACATGCTCCCATAAGGCCTTAGCTCACGGGCCTGAAAGAGCTGATAGTACTGTCACCCACTCTAAACTTTTGTGACAAGTCCTGCTTATTCATCTACTTCTAGATTTTAGTCTAAAAAAGCAAATGGACGACTCTTAGTGTAACAAAACCCTATATATGATATCACAAAGTCCAGTCTGAGAATGGAAGAGGTGGTCACTGCTGCCTTTTGCTGGCTTGAGAATCAGCTGTACACACATGATGTGATTATAACTAACTCACAAAGCATGGTCAGAAAGGTGGAAACAGGTATGCTTCAAGCAGAGTGGCAGAACATCACTTCAGAGGTCCAGGTAGTTGGCAGCCTTTGGATATTTTCTACAGGTCAAGCAAGTGTGTTGGGAAACAGATAGACAGACATGCTGGTTCTGCATCACTTGGTGCAAAACTGATGTATGACAAGCAAGATGTTGTCAAGGTCCTTTGGGAGAGAATGAACAGTGCAGAGAGACAATTGGATTTATTATGGTGCAATGATGTGTGACCAGGGGATATGGCCAACACTAGAAACTCACAGGAGAGGCAAGACCATCTACTACTGGTACCAATAGAGTTGGGACCCTTCACTGGCTGCTGAAGATGGGGATGCAATGCTCGTGAGAATTTCTAAAGTGCTGTGATGTCAGTTCCTGAAACTCAGCACAGCTCAACAGGACTTAAGTTTTGCTCCAGAACCTGAGTTCAACATGCACATACATTTTACAGACCTAGCTTATTTGTACTATGTAGACTGCTAATTCCTCAACTCTTAAGCAGAAGTTTTCGGTCTTCATAGGGATCACCCATTCATTATTAGTTGACTTGGTCAAAATGCTTTTTAGGGGGCAGTGGGTCTTCTCCCCCCCCCCCCCTCCCACAATGGGAGCCCTGGAACTGATAAAGGGAACCTGCTGCATTGAACAATATATGGAAGTCAAAGGGACATAGTTTGAGGATAAAACTCAGATTATATTAAGAGCAATATTTCAGGACTGTTGGAAAACACAAGCAGGAATTACATACAAACTAAGGACTAAAAAGAATATCTAAGGATAATCAAATCCTGTGAATATATGTTGAACAAATGACAAACAAGATCACAAATGAAGAACTGAGGAAGAAAACAGTATGTTCCTCATTGGCAAATGTTATCAAAGAAAGAAAAAAGTTGCTTGGACAAGTCTGCAGAAAGTCTTAGAACATTGTGGCAAGGACAGCTCACTGACAGACAGCAGACCAGGGGGAGGGGCGTAGACAACATAAGAAAGCCGGTAGAAGGACAGCAGAAAATAAAATGAGGTATGCAATGTGAAAAAAAAATCACATGGGATTCCAAAAAGGTATAGACAGACCAGCAGCAATAAAGATCACTTTTGAATGCCTTATGTGTATATCAATAACGACATGAAAAGGATTTAAATTTATTAAATTACTTTTCAAGGTTAAGCAAGTAAACATAATTTAATTAATTCTAATTCTAGCAGTACTCAGTAGTTCTTATTTAACTTAGTAATATTATAAGAATAAGTACTAAATTAAAAATTAGGCTATCCTCCGAATAACGGGCACTAAAGATGGCGACCGCAAAATATCCTGACGAGCATCACTCACGTGTCAATTGCACACTTGCGGTCATGAGCAAATCGCGGAAAACTAGGATTAGTGTCTGTTGACAATTTCAAGAAACAGAACAAACCGCCGAGTTAAACTCGCCGCCGAGAGTCTCCCCTGCGCGGATGGGGCTAAACTAGATGGCTGGGACCCACGAGCAGCAACTTCCGCATCTCCTGCAGCTTTGCTCGTGAGTCCTAGCCATCTAGTTTAGTCCCAATCTATGCCGCATGACCGGGTGGGGGCTACTCTCAGCAGTGGCAGTAGTCACCGGAAAACCGCAAATTAAGTCGTCGGATGTGCGCAACTGACACATGACTGAGGCCCTGTTTTTGGCCGCTATCTTTTTTGCCCGTTATTTGAAGGATAGCCGGTTTGTGGATGCTACTAAAAAGAAAGCTGCGTTACCAATCCAGTACGAGCCGCGCCTTGTTCCGATCGTACTTAGGCGAGTTTTAAAGGTGTAACAGCCACAAACAGCAGATTTTCAGGCACTATTTACAACTTGTGTGCCATAATTTCCAGATTTAAAGGCATAAAATTATCGGTAAGTAGTTGATTTGATAACATTTTATTCATTCCTTATTACTTTTGACTTCAATTTATGAATGTTTACAACACATGACACGTGACTGAGGCTCGTCAGGATATTTTGCGGCCGCCATTTTTAGTGCCCGTTATTCGGAGGATAGCCAAAAATTACAATTTACATGAAATAAATGACTATTTTGATTTCCGAGCTAAGGCAGGACAAATTAAAATTGAAATTCACGCAACTGAAACTGAATTCGTCTAATGTTTTTTTTAAAAATCACACAAGGGAATGCATTTAACCAGTATGAAGTCATTACAAATATTGCAGTTAGCTCACTATAAGCGATGATCTAATATTACTCAACTTACTTTGTTGCTAGACATGATGATACGTCAACCGGATGCAAACAAATAAGAATCCATTTGTGGGTGATCTCCCCTGTACCATTTCCGTTATAGACAGTTGTGGGCGGGTCATTGAGGGAATCCCACAAAGTTCGTCCTTACCCGCACTAAGATGCAACCCACCCACACTAAATTAGACAGTTCGTTACTGTTTTGTGGTGCCCCTGTGTAATGCAAATCTGGATTCTTTATTATTATTCTACCGCAAGATAACATCACAGGACAGTCCAACGTTTTAGAGGGTGGTATGGCTAGATTTCCCAGCTTTCTGATGCTTTAAACGACCCCAAAACACCTAGAACTGGCCTAACCCCAACCACCTACGTGCCACGAGAGAGTGCAGACTATGTCCCATGAATACACGCAGCCTAGGTCATACGACTGCATGCAGCCTATCTACCACCCCCTGACATATTAGACTGTCCCGTGACCTGTGGATTTCCCCTGTTTGGGGTAGGATATTATTAAAGCACTCAAATCTGGAGGAGAAAAACTTAACAGAACAAAAACTAAATACAGTACTGCAGGTTACACAAACTGGTGTGGCCGTTGCGTGGCCCTAAATGTAACTTATTTGGAGGTTGAATTGGGTATTTAGATATGCCATCCAGATTGAAATTTGCATGAAGCAGCTCGGAGGGGACAAACTGATCGATCGTTTAATGTAATACTGGTGATGGTATTGATGCCTGAAGACAGAGAGACAGGGTGTTTTGGAGTTTCATTGCAGCTAACCTTAATTTTGGAGAAGACACCCAATTGTTTGCTTTATTTAGTTGCCTTCAGTTAATTTGGTGACATCTTCTCAATGATGGCTAAGTCGATGCGAACGGTTCGTAATGCCGGGATGCCGGGTTCAATCCCAACTGCGGGCCATGCGCCTTGCGTTGGTTTCGACAGCGGTATTAAGAAAGCCGACCGTCCAGAAAGCAATGGCACACTACTGGACGTACATTTGCATAGAAAAACCACACAACAGTCAGGGGCTGTTGGGGTTGGTTCTGCAACGTCCTGTAAAGGTTATGCAACTAACCTTCTCAATGAAGGTTGGCTGAAATGAATCTCAAACATATTTTTTTTTCGCTCGTTCTTGGTGTACATTTACTCAGGCACATTCGTCCATCTTTGTTATCCTCCCCCTTATGTTGTAATATCTTGCCCGTCTACCTTAATTTTTTTTCTCCATTTAATGTGGTTTTCATGAAACCACGACTCTCATAGTGATCTTGTTTTAGTTACGCCATTTACATCATGTACAGTTTATCAGTTCCGGTAACGACGACACGACAAACGGGCATCACATAACACTCTATCCCTATGTCAGTAAAAACCACACAAGAAACCTGTCACTGTCCAATGTGAAAAAAAGTCATACAGACAGAAATTCCAACAAAATCCAACAGCCCGCATTAAATTCATAAGGCAACTAATAGAAGAACCACCACCAACAGTCTGTTACCAGAATTGTATTTGCTGCTGGAAGCAGCAGTCTTGACCAATCAGCAACTGCACACAGATTAGTGCTTACGACATATCGCTAGGCCTGTGACAACCAGCTACTTTCTGAATATGCAGTTTCCAACACGAATCCCCGACAACAAAGACGAAAGCCATTCCACCTGAAAAGAACAGCTCACCCTGTAGCAGTATGCATTTACCTCAATAGCTGGGCGACTGGACCAGTCTTCTCCTTAACCTCGTTTGTTGTCCCATTCAGTTTCCCGTTGGACCTTGGGATGCCAGCCTTCCACTGGGTTACTGTGGAGAACATGATCTACAGCGTGAATGGTAGATAGGCTTAAGCAAGAGTGGCCAAGAGTCTTGTAATGCGCATCAACACTCTATTAAGACCCTTGTAAAAGACACAATTGGGGGTGGAGCATTGGGATTGTTTTAGATAACAAACGATAAAGTCATGGGTTGTTTCAAAGAAGCTGTTGCCTTCTTCGCAATGAAAATCGGCTGCAAAGGATTTTAACCCGTTTCTCGCCCTTGTTAGTGACATTTTTGGATGGCTACTGTATAGAAGAACTGAGTACACACAGGAATGCAGTTTGCAATGACGTCGATTGTGGTAACATGCAACCTACATAATAAATATATAACGTTCACAGCCTCGGACACATTCGTTGGTCTCTAGGGTTTTTCTCCCACATTACTGGTTACATTTCTTGTCTTGTATTCGTATTTTCATTTACATATCTACTTTTTTATCGCCCAATGGAGCATATGCTCCCAACCAACTCGAGCCAAGCCGTTCTATTTTTCGCTATTGCATGAAGTGCACTCCATCTTTTTAACTTTACTCTCTAGCTCCCTTCTTCGTGTTTTTTTTTTTAAATTGCCTACTGTTGTTTATGCGCCACTATGGGTTCCAGTGCATAGCCATTCTAGTTATATTGTTCTCAGGTTTTCTCACTGTGTTTCCCATACAACACCAGCGTCTTTCATTCACCTCTTTGTCAACTGGAACTTGTTTAATTCTTTCCTAAAGCTCAACATTGGTGATTATATCATACTATTTAATTCCCTCTATTCTGTGCAGGCAGAAGTAATAACTTTTTAAATTATCTGCTCCACACACAACACTGCTTTGACAGCAGAGTTACACATTTTAAGTTTAGTATAAGTTGTAATTTTTGTTTGACTTCCACAATTTCCTAGTGCAGTGAAAGCTCTTCTTGCCCTTTGTATTCGTATTTTTTTTTATACCAACCATGGAAAATGTAAAAGATAAACATTAACATATACTAGGGTATTTAAAAGGATCGTTTATATCAATATGATTTCCAGTTTGTCACGCCATTCCCATTTGACAATTTTGGGTGAGAAACTGGCATGTGTTTTCTGATGGAAAGCAGTACCGGCGCCTTCCTTTAGACATATTTCCAGAGCCACTAAAAATACACTTTATAGCGAGTACCAGCAGCTGTTTAAAGACACGTTGTAGAAAATACTGGTACCTTAAAAAAAAAAAAAGGACGTGACATTGAAGTTGGCTATAGGCCAGGGATATTCAACTAAGTTTATTCAGTTGCCAAAATTTATAAAATGGGGATCATTACGGGCCAAATGCCCAAACATTAGCGTAGAAAGATCATTAATACAATGCAACTAGCAATGATTCACGGGCCATTTGTTAGGCTTCTGCGGGCCAGATTTGGCCCATGGGGAGCCAACTGAATAGCCCTGCTATTGGCCATACAAGGGTGTCACCTGGCTGTTGTAAGTTAATCACACCGTATTCAACTTTTGATTAGAGAATACTTAAAAAAGATCTGGCTAGATACGATCACCCTGATGCATCTTTCATAGGACTCTCAGTTAATTTCCTTTCCGTTCTATCATGTGCAGTCCTTTCAATATCTTGAATGGTATTCAGTCCCGTACCTTTGTCCTCTCTTAAAGTTTGTCTTTGGTTTTATCTGGACATCACTGGTTCCTCAGCCCATTTGTTTCACATTTCAGTTAAGTGGTTATCCGATCGCTTCTCTTTAATTTCCATTACATTGTCATCTTCATTTTCTTTTAACTATTGATGCTAGCGTCAGTCCATACATGTCACATAATTGTTTCTCCTTTCTTGAATCGAGTCTTCGTGGCCAAGCCTAGTGCTTTGGTCGTGAAGTTAGTTTCACACATAAATGGCCCCAAAAAGCTAGAGACGAGCGTGGTTTCACACTGGGTATTATTCAGTTCAAGAAGGCTGCTTTTATGGAGGTCACTGGAGCTGCGTGGTTCGTAACTTGTGTGCTGTTCTAGCCAGAGCGGCTAACTATTACAGTAAAGACAAACCTCTCAGTTTTAAATTTAATTCGACTGATTACCAATTTCTTTAGGTATGTATGTTAAAATTGAAAGAACATTAGAAATACAAATATATAACTTGGTTTTTAAAACATTATAATTTAGAGTTTTATACAGTGCATACATGAAAAGGAGAACTCGCTGGTTACCCAAGAAATGGTTCTTCTTATAAGAGGTTCCTCTTATCAAGGTAAGAGTTCAGACAAGAAAAATAGCTGGGGATAAATAAATTGTTCTTAACAACAACAACAACAAAAAAATCGCCTGTCTGTACTGTTTTTTGTCTGGCTATTTCCGTCTTCTTGAGATCACTTTCTGATTTACACTGACAGGCGAGTTCTTGTGATAAAATCGACTGTTTTTAGGTATCCCTTTTAGTTCCATTAAACTTTGAGTTGACTCCGTTTTGCAATGAAGCCATTATTCCACTTTGTCAAAAGCTTGCTATTTTTAAAATGATGCTTTTTCCAGTGCATATCATGATTCCCTTCTTTGCATTTACCTGACAATTAAAATTGCTACCTTATTAGGAATCTCCTACTTTCTTTTGTCTTCAGTGTAAGTTCATCTTCATCTGTTATTGACGCCTTTAGTCAGTGGAGAAACTGGCTAGAGTAAAAAAATAATAATTTTATATGCTTGTTTGAGAGTAATCCAGTGCTGCCTTTTCCATTTTCCAACATGAACTGTTGGTCTTAAATAATGAATCAACTCTGAGGACAAACTATTGTATTAAAATGTTCATCTTTGTCCCATAACATTAAGTGTCATCAACAAGGGCAAGGCCTTTGCCTAATGCTCTCAAGGTCAAGGGCTTGTTTCAAAGACTGCATCTTTCAGTTTGCAGGTACACATTTTGTGGAGATTCCTGAGGATTTTCACTAGAGCTACAGAGTTTATGCCTTGTGCGACAGTTAACTAGGCCGAGTCATATATGATCAAACCTAGAGAAATTAAGTCTACCCTCACAACTTGAAACAATTAATATATACACGGACTACCCACCCAGCCTAACATGGGTACCAGGTAAAGTCCTAGGAAGGCGACCAAATGGATTTAACCACAGCACTGTTAAACACAATATTCTTACCAATGCTATGCTATCAATGTCAAACAGGGACACCATTTTCAAAAGGCAGAAAAAAAATAGTTACAACATACTTAAAATGTTTACGTACTATGCTAGGCATAAAGAAAAAAAGATAGACTCAGGAACAATGGTATCAGCATAGAACCAATACTGAACTTTAAAGGTAAACAACAAATCAAATGGTACGGCCATGAAACAAGGTTGGCATCAAACAGGGCACCACATAGAGCAATGTTATACAGATACATCAGTAATAGATTCAGAGGTCGACCATGCAGAATATGGACTGCAGAAATTTCAGAGATACTGAAAAGTACTTTCTATGAGGCAAACAAAAGGGCACGTTCCAGAGGCCTCTTCCCGCCCTGATGCCACGAGGCATTCCAGGAGTAGAGAAAAAAAAAGGACACCCGCTGAGTGCCGACTGGGCTATAAAATATAGGTCTAATAATATATACCCAAATAACCTAAAGGCGGGGAAAATCCACAAAAAAGGGCCTTTAGTAGATGTCTATTTCTTCGCTGGAGGGAAATATACATAGAGAGGAGAGACAAGGGGAGATAAAAGCACATGCATGCGTGCACACACTTACAATAATAAGCAATGCCAGCAATTAAGCCATCAGTAACATCAAAAACCCAAGGCACACAGCAGAATCTTGTGACATTTTTATTGTTAACACCTTTGGAACAATCAATACAAAAATAAACACAACAGATACATCCTGAATTAGTGATCCAGAATACATAATTCACAGACAGGATTTGCTTTAATCAAATTAACTCACCTGCTTTATTAGCGAGAGTCAATTAAAAATATATATGAAACACATTCTAACTTTTTAACAGTAATGAATGTTAACTGTTTGCCAGAAACAAACAGATTTTTGAAACACACATTCTACCTCTTTTAACAGCAATGAATGTAAACTGGTTGCCAGAAACAAACAGCAGTAATAAAAATCAAATATCTCAGTATGTGCACAATTTCATTTCGAGCAGTTACATAAAGAAAAGTATCTCTATCACTGCTGACAAACAAAACACATTCACATGTGATCTCTACCACTGCAGATTCCTGCCATTGGTATCTCACATTAATTTACACTTTATTTCACATTCTACTGACCATCCCAAGGTTTCTTTAGAAGAAAAAAGTATACTTTTTAAATTTCTATAAACAAGTAAAGGACCCATTTTACCCCAGTGTCCCACTGGACATATGATGCTAGACTTAGATTGTTATAGACGAACTGGCACTAGGCAGGTGATGTGGTCAACACTATCAGTGGCCACCTTTACTTCCAACAACATTAACTGGTTATTTTAGGCTACATCCATATGTGTATAAGTATCATGAAATGGATTGCCTCAGTGTTACAGAGGCCCATTTGGGAAGCAAAGGACTGAAACACAGTAGCCTAGCAAGCTCACTGTAAAAAGTGACCAATGGAGTTTGAGACTGGACACAACACTTTTAAAAACCATACTGGAGGGCAAAGGCAAGACAGCAAAAGGTTGGCGAAAATAAAAGGGAGGATAATCAAGAGAAGGAGTTTACAACAGGAATAGAGACACAGCATTGTGGAGATCCACTTGAGCCAACCTTCTCTGTGGAGATGGAACCTGATTGATGAGACTGGATTTATTACCCCACAGAGTAGGAAGATTTAGCTGCAAAATTAAACCTATCATAAAAAAGTTTACAGCAGGCTTGATGTGATTTGGACGACGACAACGTTTACCGATGCATCAATTAGAAAGCAAGTGTACAACTTCTTTGAGTCTCAAAAGGCGCACAATGGGCTAGTGTATGACATCAGAAATGAGAGGAATCAGACATTGGGATGCTAGATTTCTAAGGAAGTATTTAAAAAAAAAAACGGTGTACTGTCTATATACTGTCAATAAAGGCTGACCACAGTAAACCCAGTGCTACAGAAATATTACTCGATGAGGACATAATCGCTTCTATGGCCTGACAGTCAGAAAAACCATGAGAATGGGTTTTAGAAAAATGGGGAAAAACTAGAAGCCTCACAGCGTTTAGTCTCTTGTATAGCATTAACGATGTCTCTTCTGTCCATAGAGGACCCATTCCTGAGTCATACTGCCAGCCAGAGCGTCTGCTCTCTTAAATCCTTCAGATGGAGCCACTGTTTCCGTATGTACCCTGCCTTGATCTTCTGTAGCATGCTCACTGAGCAAATATGAGCCCCAGTACTTGAGAATTTCAACACTGTACAACTCATTCACTAATCTGCAAACTTTAAGGAAATGTAAATATGAAAACTCATTACATGATAGCTGGTATCGAAAAGAGTCTACACAGACCATGTACTGCTTCGGACTGAAGCAATTAAGCTGTACCTAGCGGACACAAGCACAGCAAGAGAATAGTTACGGGAAATAACTGGAAACAAATTTTTAAATATTAGCATTAAAAAATTGTAGGTTGAAAACAATTGAAAAAACGGACAACGTATGTAAATTCAAATAGGACCTGGAATATGCTGATATTTTCAGATGCTTACGTAGCCTTATTGGTAATAAAATGTGAAAAAAAAGAAAGCTAAACACAATCTTCACTCTGTTTTTTTTCCAAACCAGAACAGACATCTGATTTAGCAATATATATTACAACAAACATTTACAGCATCAATTGTTCTATATATGTACACACAAACTCGATACTTGTCTTAAATGTTAGCACAAATCTTATTTATGCATTTAAAATGTTAAATTGATTAAAATGTGTGACTGTAAAAGAAAAGACAGAGCCAGGCAACTGTAGTTACATCTGGCATGTTTCCTAAACACGAATAAAAAAAAAATAACCAATTTAGAAATATATTGTGAAGACAACTGTTTTATTATTTTATGAACACAAGAGTTCTCAGTAGTGGCGGAAATAGGAGCTATCGCCTTCACCCTGGTTGTATTCATTGTAGCGGGCTGAGCCACTAGCCTGCCCATGAGAAGTTGTTGAACTGTAGCTTCTGTCACCGCGGGGAGCTGACCTGAAAAAATTAGGTAACGCAAATGTACTAGCATGTGATGAGAAGTTGCCATGGTGTAGCGGCTAGACGCTCACCTGCCAATCTGAAGGTCGTGGGTTCAGGGTCAAATGAATCTGACCTCCCCCCCCCCCCCCAAAAAAAAAACCGTCCAGGTCAATCCACCCTTAATAAATGGGTACCAGGTAAAGTCCTGTGAAATAACAGTGTCTGGCGTTAGGTTGACCACATCACCCACTGAGTTCAGATTGGCCTACAAAATATAGGTCTAGCCCTATATGCCCAATACACCTGAAGGTATGGAAAAGGGTCCGCTACTAGCCTGTATATCAAATATGTAAGTTCTATAGACTATAAAATAAAGCTTTTGACAGGTTAAAACAATAAACAATTGCACAACTTCAGGATACAGGATCAGAAGATGCAAAGGATATCAGACTAAGTACACTATACAGGGAACAAGCAGCAACAAAATGTAATCACCAAACATGGAGATACAATGATTATGGCAGGAAAGTGTGTTGCTTGGGAGCCTTTTCAAATGATATACAGAAAGCACTCACAAGTTCAGAATATTACCTGGTATAAATATAGAGGTAAGAATAATAAACAATCTTGAAATATGCTGATGGCAGAGTTTCACAAGCAGAAAGTTGGCAGGAGTTAGAAGATCTGGTGTTAGCAAGTGTACAGGTGCAGTACAGAATATGTATTAGATGTTAACACACACACAAAATGAAAATCACAGTAAATGCAGAGGTATCAGGGAAAAAAAATGAAAAAAAAAGTGCAATACTCAAAAGTGATACATTTTTAACTGAGATCCGAATACTCAGATGTGATACATCCTTTATTGAGATCCAAGCACTCAGAAGCGATACAACTCTTTACTGGGATCCAAACACTCAGAAGCGATACAACTCTTTACTGGGATCCAAACACTCAGAAGCAATACAACTCTTTACTGGGATCCAAACACTCAGAAGCAATACAACTCTTTACTGGGATCCAAACACTCAGAAGCAATACAACTCTTTACTGGGATCCAAACACTCAGAAGCAATACAACTCTTTACTGGGATCCAAGCACTCAGAAGCAATACAACTCTTTACTGGGATCCAAACACTCAGAAGCGATACAACTCTTTACTGGGATCCAAACACTCAGAAGCGATTCAACTCTTTTACTGAGACAGGGTTCATAGCCAAATTTACCAATCAATTTCAAGGCTTTTCAAGGTCTTTTTTAAGGTCTCCTTAGTTTTTTTCAAGGTTGTCTCGGTGTAATACTGAAACAAGACTTTTGCCTTGTTCAAGGGTGTACTGAGCACACAAGGTACTTCATTTGTGCCACATGTGTTGGTATACCAGCGCAGATATCATCATCATGTAGCATTTCCTTTGTCCTGACAAAAAAACCTCGGTCTCTCACCAGCTCTCCCGCCTCATGTACTTTTTTATACTCAAGGAGTCACTTATATCCTGTGCCCATCTTCGTGCTGGTCGGCCCCTGAGCTTGATATAGTGTTTGAAATTTTTTTTAGGGCTTGGTGGTAGAGGGCAGCAAACTGAAGTCCTGTCTGTTCTGGACCTGGTACCTGAGAGGGTTAGGGGAGAGAGAGAGAGAGTCATGAAGAGAGAGGAAGACACATGTTGAGGTAGGCTGGGAGAGACAGTGTAAAGATGGACAGATGAAGGTAGAGAAAAGAAGGAAAAGAAGTCTGGGGAAGGAGGAAAAAATGAGAGGGAGGGATGGAGACATGATGAGGAAAAGTGTGGAAGGAACAGCGAAAGACAGAGAGGGAAAAAAATACAGAAAGAGGGAATGCAGATACAGAGATGGGCAGATGAAAAGAGAAGGAAAAAGGGAACGAAATAGAGATATGGAAGGAGGAAAATATGACAAAGAGTTGAAAGAAGGGAGACAGAGGGAGAGAGAACGGACAGGGTGAGAAGCAGATGCAAGCAGAGAGAGATGTAGACATAAAGGAGAGAGAGAGACAAAGGGACAGCACAGAGAGGCAAGCAGACAGAGGGAGAGAACCAAAGAAAGAGAAAAAAGGCAGAGCAGGAGAATGGGAGGGAGGTATACAAAGAGGAAGTGATGAAGGGAGGCAAACAAACATAAAGCAAGAGAGAGAGAGAGGTGGGTAAGGAAGGCAGTGACAAACACAGATTAAGAGAGAGGGGCAGGAAGGGAGACAAGATACATCAAAGAAAAAAACAGCCACCTACTCCCCCCCCCCCCCACACACACAATTTCAAGTGTAGTGGACACAACCACTAGGAAAAGATAGTTGTGGGGGCAAAAAAATACGTAGATGAACCAGTAAAAAAAAATGATGGGGGGGGGGGGGGGGAGAGAATGAGAGAGGGGAGCGGGTAAGGAAATCTAGAGAAAATGAAAAGACAGGATGGAGAGGAGACAAAGAAGAGATGGGACAGGAGAAAGGGCAAGGAAAGAAAGAGAGGAAGAATGGAGAGAGAAAGGAGAATAGTAGAAGATCAAAGGAAAGAGAAGGGGTGAGAGAAGAAAGGTAAGACACGGTTGTGGGGGGGGGGGGGGGGGGGGGGGTGTAAGAACAATGAGTGCCAAAAATAGAATTAGGAAATCTCTAAGTGAGGCCACTTTTCCGGTTCCTACCCTCTCCCAATGTGAATGTGGCCTGGTCCAAAAACAACAGTGCTAACCCCTACTGCCCCTTGCTTGCCCTATCTGTGTGTGACAACAATAATTCAATTTCTTACACTTAAGGCTGGTGACCTGAGAGCCAAGGTCATTTTATGAAGAAAAAAAAAAGTCCAGGGGATCCCAACCCACCACTGGTGGAAAATAGAGAAGTTTACCCACACACATAAATAGGTCAGACAAATAAATAGGTCAGGGCAGCAGTGGACTTCGTTTTATTTCTGGTTTTCCAATTACAGAAAGGAGGGGAGAGAGGAGGCGGTGGAAAGTGGTGTAGAAGGCTGAGGTGGTAAGGGTGAGACAGAGGAGGTGAGAGAATAAAGTTTAAGAAAATAAAGTGGGAATGAGATAGGGAGAGAAAGAAGGGAGTAAGAAATAAGATGAGATATAGAGGGAAGAAGGTAGCAGGAAGGGGTGCACTCCCTCCCCTAGGTGTCATCAATGTGGGAGGAGAAAAAAAGGGGGGGGGGGGGGGGGGTGACGGCAAATGTGTTTTTTAAAAGTACACATATATTTAATGTGTGGGAGGGGTAATGGTGGACATGAAATGTTCTGCACTAGGCAACACATAACCTTCTACACCAACTGAAGGTATGGAGAGAAAGAAAGAAAGAGAAGAGAGAGAGAGAGAGAGAGAGAGAGAGAGAGAGAGAGAGAGAGAGAGTGAGGGAGAGTGGCAAATACAAAGAGAAAGAAGAAAGCAGTGACACAGACAGGCAGAGAGTGAGGAACAGGTAGGACAAAATGTGAGGGGGCGGGAAGGGAGATGGACAGAGATCAAGGCCGCTAGGAAAACAAACACATCAAAAGAAAATATCCACCATGTTCACACAGAATGCCCCCCCCCCCAATACAACTTCCTGTGTACTTGAGTTGCTAGGAAGAGTTATAGAGCGGCACATTTACTAAACATTTAAACAAGAAATAAAATAGGAAAAAGGTGGAGGGGGGACAGGAAATGAGAGAGTAAAAGGAAAGATAGAGAGAAAGAGAAGAAGATGAAGATCAGAAGGGAGGGTTAGAGACAATGCAGGAGACGGGAAGGAAGGAGCAATAGGTAGAAGAGTGAAAGAGGGAGGGAAGAGAGAGAGAGGGGTGAGACAACAGAAGAGGGAATCTCGGGGAATTACAATACTGATCGCCAAACACACTGTAAAGATAAATCCAGGCCAAAAATAGAACTGGGAAATTCAGCTGCAGTCACTTTTCTTAGCCCCAATGCTATCTCTAATTAATAGAGAAGGCCGTGCTTAGCCCCACCACGGCGACTCTATTTATAAATACAACTAAACCGAGCCCCACCATCTCCCAATGTAATCCTTTCTAGAAACCACGGCCATAAACGATTTAAACGGTTCATTCTGCCCAACTTGCTAGAAACAAAGGCACACACACACACGCGCGAGACGGAAGCTGCTCCTTCCAGCCCCATGCCACACTGCTGCTGTCTGCATGTATTCATGATGTGTAACAAAGCCCGCCCTCCCCTGGCCTTTAACAAGCCATTTCGGCTGAAAATAGCCAATAATCAGCTGCCCTCACACCTGAAACGACCATACAACGAAAGTAGCCAAAAACTAGCCAAATGGCCAAAAAAAAAGCCAAATGGCTTCCCCAAAATTGCCTGTGCTTGAAAAACACAGGATTTCTGACGATTTCATTGCCGCGGTCAAAATTCACGGCTTTTCAAGGTTGGAATGTCTTTTATAAGCTAAAAATCCCGGTTTAAGGTCAACGAAAAAAATCCCGGTAATTTCCCGATTTCCCGGTCCACTACGAACCCTGCTGAGATCTCAGACAACTGGCATTGAAACAGAAGTAAAATGACAACCCATGAGAGAGACTCCTGGCAATAAAATGTTCACAATTTAAAAAAATATGATGCCAAATACAGCTCTGGTGAGCATCTTCTACAAGCGTTGGCAAAAATCTATATATATAAAAATCAATGTTTGTGTGTTTGTTTGGTCTCTATAGACTCGGAAACTACTGAACCGATTTAGCTGAAATTTTCAGGATATGTTTGTTGTGATACCGGATTTTGAACCATCGTGGTTTGAAATTCAACCTGTCACTGTTAGAGATAGGTGACCACAATTTATGCAAAAATATACGCAACTAATATTTATAACTTTAGTGATTTCTAATTATAGCCACGTTACTTAATGCGCATGTGCGATCGATTTACCATACCGTGCATGCGCAGTAGTGATGCTCCATCGTCAACATCCGCCCGCGACATATAAGTGTTATATTACAAAGGAAACAATTGACTGCGGTTTTTAGTTGTTTTATCTAGAAATATATAAAAAGGTAAGAGCATTTATTTAAGTAACAGTCAGTATGCACATGTTTTTTGTTTACTTTAAACAAATGTGGACCACTTGTTAAATCCCGCAATGATAAATGTATACACATTATCAATAACTATTATCGTCTTTCTCATACGGTATACTATACCCATGAGTACAAGTAGTACAAGTTACAAGTAGTACAACCACAACATTTGTGGTTGGCTTTCTTCTGTTATTGTTATTCAAAAGAATTATATAAATTTACACAACATTCCGTCTGAGGTCAGTGTTAGAATCTAAAAATATCTAAACAGGTGAGCGCATTTATTTAAGTTTAGTAGTAGTCAGTATGTACGTTTTTTGTTTACTTTAAATAATAAGTGTGGACCACTTCTTAAATCCCGCAATGATAAATGTATACAGTGTATACATGTACACATTATCATTAACCATTATCATTATCCAGTAATCGAGTAATGATAAATTTATACACATTGGTCCATCAGTCATTATGTACATTTTTTAAACTTCAAATACATGTGTGGACCACTCCTTAAATCTCACAATGGTAAATGTGTGCACATTATCTGTTGGCTTTTTCATATTGTCTTATATACCGTCTTTTCTTACTATTCGCTGCCCAGTTTCTATGCATTTCCTCTTGAGTCAAAATAGATTGTTAACTCATGCTCATATTTTCATTTATTTCAGCTATACTTCAAGTCACATTTCATTCAGTGCGTCACAAAATTTGTAGTTATGCCTCCCAAACGACAAGCGCTTGGACTATCTACACCTAAAACACGCAAGAGAAGGGCATTAATTGCTTCAGAAACAGACGAGCAACGTAATATAAGACTGGAAACCATTCGAGTGCGCACTGCTGAAGCCCGTTCATCTCAATCAGACCAGCAACGGAAAACAAGACAACATTCGAGTGCGCACTGCTGAAGCCAGATCGTCTCAGTCAGACGAGCAACGAGAAGCAAGATTGGAAACCAATAGAGTACGCACTGCTCAAGTCCGTTTATCAGAAACAGTCGAGCAACGGAAAGCAAGACTGGAAACCGTTCGGTTGCGCACTACTTTATCCAGGCGAAAACTGCATGTTGATTTGATTCTTGGTGCATTCCATTACAACAGCAATTATGATTACAGTCTTCATCCGCAGGTGCTTATTGGCAAAATGGATAACGTGTGCGTACATTACAGTGCCTTCAAATTTAAGAATGAAACGCCGGGTATGTGCTGCGCTGGTGGCAAAGTTAAATTGTCAGTATTACATTCACCACCCGAACCATTATCATCATTGGTAGCAGGTGACACAAGCCAGTCGAAACATTTCTTGGCCAACATTCGCAAATACAATTCGTGTTTCCAGATGACATCATTCGGTGCAACGAATATTGTGCGCGAGAATTACATGCCGACATTTAAAGTGCAAGGCCAGATATATCATCGTGCTGGCTCCTTACTATCACTGCCCGACGCAGATTACAAATTTCTTCAGATTTATTTCATGGGGAACATTGATCAACAAATTAATCAACGTTGTCGATTCAATAAGGGGACACAACGAGACATAGTTGCTGCTTTACAAAATTTATTTTATCAACACAACAAATTAATTAGATTGTTCAGAACTGCTCTTCAACAAATGCCAGCTGATGACTACAGAGTTGTACTCAGAGCTGACAAAACACCAGTTGGCCAACATGAAAGACAGTACAATGCACCAACAATTGATGAAGTGGCAATTGTTATGGTTGGCGAAGAATTCAACTCGCGTGACATAATTCTTCATCGCAGAAATGGTGATGTTCAGCGAGTCTCAGAAACTCATCGCTCATATGACGGATTGCAATATCCAGTTTTATTTTGGCAAGGAGAAGATGGATATCATTTCAACATCAAATTGAGAAATCCACAAACACATGAGGAGATGATTAAGAAAGTCAGTGCCATGAATTATTATTCATATCGATTGATGGTTCATGAATACGCTAACAATCATATCTTGACATGTCGACAATTGTTCCACCAATACATTGTCGATATGTATGCAAAAATGACACTGAGCGACTTCTCTATATTCGATTAAATCAAACCAAGTTGCGTACAGAGGTGTACATTCAGTTACGTGATGCAGTTGTTAATGATGGCAATGTTAATCCCAATGAGTTGGGGAAAATGGTCATATTACCAGCCACATTTACAGGGAGTCCACGACACATGCATGAGTATGCACAAGATGCAATGACATATGTTCGCGTACATGGCCGTCCAGATTTATTTATCACGTTTACATGCAATCCTACATGGGATGAAATAAAAGAACTTTTATTACCTGGACAATTATCATCGGATCGTCATGATATTACAGCACGTGTGTTTAAACAATAATTGAAATCTTTAATGGATTTCATTGTCAAGTATCGTGTTTTTGGAGAGACCCGCTGTTGGATGTATTCCTTCGAATGGCAAAAAAGGGGATTGCCACACGCACACATTTTGATTTGGATCATCAACAAAATCACACCAGATCAGATTGATCAGGTTATCTCAGCAGAAATACCAGATGTCAACATTGATCCAGACTTATTTGCAGTCGTCACCAAAAACATGATTCATGGTCCATGCGGCTTACTAAACAATAATTCACCATGCATATCTGATGGAAAATGTATGAGACGATACCCAAAAGACTTGCATGCAGAAACTATCACTGGCAATGATGGATATCCTCTCTATCGTCGACGATCAGTTTAAGATGGCGGCAAATCAATCATTTTAAAAGTGCGAAACAATGATGTTGAAGTTGATAATCGTTGGGTTGTACCGTATTCACCGTTACTCTCAAAGACGTACAAAGCACACATCAATGTTGAGTATTGCAATTCGGTGAAATCAATAAAGTACATTTGCAAATATGTCAACAAAGGAAGCGATATGGCAGTCTTTGGAGTGGGACATGCAGCTGCATCTATCGACGAAATCGAGCAATATCAGCTGGGGCGCTACATTAGTAGCAATGAAGCAGTATGGCGCATTTTGTCATTTCCAATTCATGAACGACACCCAGCAGTTGTTCATTTGGCAGTGCACCTTGAAAATGGACAGTGCGTGTACTTCACTACAGAGAATGCACATGCACGAGCATTGTTACCACCGCCAACCACGCTAACTGCATTTTTCTCATTGTGTCAAGATGATATGTTTGCAAAGACACTACTTTACTCTGAACTGCCAACATTCTACAACCTTGAAAATTGGCGTGCCCATCATTCTTCTCAGAAACATCAATCCGCCACGTCTTTGCAATGGTACCAGGCTTTCAGTGAAAAAGCTGATGCTCAATATCATCGAAGGTACAATTTTAAATGGGATATTTAAGGGCGAGACTATACTTTTGCCACGCATCCCAATGATTCCAACAGACATGCCATTTGAATTCAGACGCTTGCAGTTTCCGGTGCGACTCGCCTTTGCAATGACCATAAACAAATCACAGGGACAATCCCTACAAGTGTGTGGACTACATTTGGAACATCCGTGCTTTTCACATGGACAGCTATATGTGGCCTGTTCATGCGTCGGAAAACCTTCTGATTTATTTGTGTACGCGCCAGACGGAAGAACAAAGAACATTGTTTACCCGAAAGCACTTCAGCAAATACATTTATACTGTTAAATTACCTGTTTTTTCCTAAATAAATGAAATCGGCACAATGATCCAATATAATTACATTTTGTTAAAGCGATTTTCCTTTCAATTCACTTTCTATTGTAGCAACGCGTGCAGGGTTGTTTACAGCAATTAGCAAATGTGTTCATTTTGTAATTATGGTGTATTTTTCCTCTTTTCGTTGCTTTTCACTAGGGTAGTTTTTCCAACTACTTCGATGAAGGAGAAAGTAGTAGGTGAACTGGGGGATGGGTGGTTAAAATAAACTGTTTACTGAAATTGATTTAAGTTACAGTAACTGCCTTACCCACTCAAAGTTTTATTAGCTGTTGCTCTGTACATCGCTAGCGTGAAGCGAAGACACATTTCTATGTTCTCTATTTTCCATGTAGTCAAATTACGCCACAGCAACGCGTGGCCGGGTACAGCTAGTATTAAATAAAAAGCAACTGTGGTAAGCAATGTCTACTAGAAATTTTGAAAACTTAGCGTGAAGCAACTGCAATCTCCCAAAACTGCACAAGTGGGAACTGAATATAATTCTGTTTAAAAAAAAAAGTTAAATATTAAACAAGACCTACCTGTCAGAATTAGGGAAGTCAGGACCTCTTCTCGCATTACTGGCTCCTCTCTCTGAACCATGCGACCTGTTCAGTGAAGACCTTTCACCTTTGTTGCGACCAGCATCACTGCTTGGACCTGCTCCAAACGCCGGTGGCTGTCTCGGGTTTTTATGACGAACCGGCTCTGCGCCTTTACCATTACGGTCATGTCTATCACGGCTGTTTCTGTCAAGCCTGCTTGGCTGGGTATCCATCCGAACATTCATATCTATCCGTTTATTGTCTGGTCTGCTGGGGCGTTCCATGTGATCAACCCCAGTTCTGATAGGTCTCTCTGGCCTGCTGGTATCATTCCGAACTCCCCTATCGATTCTCCCACCACGATCAGATGACCAGGAGACACCGCCGAAGCCACCTGGCTGACGCTGTAAGAGATAAAATATACACATTTAGACCTTTACGTCGACAAACACACAAAAATATACATCACACAATTTGTTCCCAGCAGTGAAACTTTCAATTTCATTAAACTTGGATAATTGATAATATTATTCTAAAAAGTGCCTGATAAAGAAACAAAGTTAGATGTAACAATAGATAAAGCGGGAGCTTAGGTTTTGAGTCCGGTATGAAAGGATGTATAAAAAAATTGTTTACAACCAGTGTGCTGGTGGCACTTCGTTTGTCCGATATTTAAACATATGGAGAAAGTTTTTGCAACAGCTGTTCTCATATATATATCGATTTAAAATGTAACTGCGCGCCATCTGCACTATAGCTGCAATAAAACTCCCTTGCTTACAGAAATTGGCCTTGGCGGCTGAAACCTCTTATGGTTAAACGGACAAGAAGGTGATTACCGGCGCTCTGTGGAAAGCTTTGAGCAAGGAACTTAACATGCCTTTGTCATCCACTGCACCTAGGTTTACTTCCAATAGTCTCAACATTGTCCAACCTTGGATCAGGATGTACACAGGTGAAAATGTGAGGCCGACGAATTGCGCAATTTAAATCCAAGTCCTTGTGCAAGTCACTTTCATCCACTATCACTAATCTCATAATTACGGCATTTTACCTGTTGTTTGCACTGCTCAAGAACTTTCCAGGCTTACAATGGACTCACCTTTCTACTCATAATCACAGTTCATTACTACTTTGGACGAAAAGTGGTCTTCCTCACTCGTGATGGACGAACAACAGCTGCAATATTTTCACCCTTCCTTTTTCACTGAATTTTTAACTAATTTTTCATTAAAGGTTTACTAGGCAAAAGGGTTAAGAATAAGAACAGATGCTACTCACATGATGGTCTATGACGCGAGTAGATGAAACCAGTGGCTCACCACCAAAATGTCTTGGCGGATGCTCTAGTAAGGGTTTATGAGACGGTCCTGCAACCGGATAACTTTCTGGAAGCAAGTGGCCGCCACCCCCTCCTCCGACTTGAGTTTTATTCAGCATCGCAATCTGATTTTTAATAGCTTGGTTCAACTGGTTCTGAAGCTGCAGCATTTCCTTGGTCACCTGTGCATAGAAAACAGTACAGATGAGAAAACAAAAGTATTTTTGTATCCAAAAAAAGAGAACAGAAACCTGTAGACCAGCTTGAGAAAAAAAAAGGTTACAGGATCATCCTGCCATTATAATCACACAGGGCTTGTATCCTGTTCTATCCCATGCAATCTTCTGGAAGTCATGAATAGAATCTAGTTCAGCACCTTTGGCTTTCTCTTGGTCATTTTCATTTCCTCACTTCACTTGTTTCTCACAGCAGTGCCTGCTTGGCAATTCTCTGCTCACTTCTATCCAATATTGTGCCACCTTCTCATAACTCTTGATATCTGGTGGTTGCCCAAACAAATAGGATGATATGATATGCCAAAATATATGAATTCAATTATGAATACCACTGCTGTCGTAACCCTAATTTGACCAGCTATGTCAGTGTTTCTCACACCTGAGAACCACCAAAACAGGGAGATATTGTTCCGCGGCCCATCTGATAACTAACAAAGACAGAAACAAGAACAAATAATTCTTGTTTATGTGTTAAATCTGATGCCATAAAATTACAATAATGTTAACGCAGCATCTGCTGCCACTTAGAGATTCGAAAATGTTATAAACTTGATGGGAGCATTGTTTGAAGCTGTGCAATAAGATCTATTCACCTTCTATGTCTGGTTTTCATTACTGATGTGACTGAGAAAGTCTTTCACATTAACAGGAAGTTGTTGGGAAAAAAAAACTACCAACAATCTGACATGGATATTCTTTTGCGTGCTATTCAAAACTCAAACAGTGATATTAAAGAAAACTTCATCAGCTTTCCTTTTTCATGATGATCAAGTTTAATAAAGGTTTTCAGCTAACGCCTTATTAATTTGTTGGTTAAAATCAGAGGAAATAAAAAGTTCTTCCAAAGTAAAAAAAAAAAAAAAAAAAAAAACATGTTTAAATCTTCCTCTTTTATGTGATATCCCATAGAGCCAACTTATGTTTAAAAAATAAAATAATATCCGTACAAGTCCCCTGAAGAATGTTAAGCTCATTAAAGTGGTCAAATGTCCACCATATACTCCAGCCTGGTAAATCTTTCCTTTTTTAAAAAAAAAGGCCCTACTAGGTCAGACTTATGCTTTTGCAGAAACTGCTTTACTTTTTCCCCCAATTCAAAAAAAAGTAACTCCTTTCTTCAGGAAAGGAGATAGTGAGTGAGTCCATACTCTCACAGTGTCACGGGATTTACTGTAACCGATCCCATTAATAAGATGTAACAACAGGGACATGGCTGTTGTATGTTGCCAAAGGTATTGCACGCATGCAACACCCCTCCTCCTAAAGTATTGTCCTCCCCACATCCCTGCATGACTCATTCAATAGATCAAACAAGCTCCAGGAGGTTTAAGGCATCCAAAAACTCGTATTCATTTGTGCAGAATGATCATGGACCATCTCACGATTGTTAATAAAAATTACCAAGGAACAGCCTGAAGTTAAATCCAGACTGGAAATTTCATTTACAATATCTTCACACCATCATTCATCACATTAATTAGTTCACCAGAGAGCATTTTTACAGCGAAGACTTCTTAGTGGATCATGCAGTGAGTGGACAAAATGTTTGGCTGTGCAATGTCTTTTATTTTACAATTACTCCTTTACAACGTCCAGTCATGCTTGCAGCACCGTTCATAAACACTATGACACATTTCTCCAGTCTATGAGCCATGCGCCTGAAAATATCTATCAAGAGGATTAAATATCTCCGAACTAGTGGTCCATCCAGGAAAGTCAGGGTCACAAAGAAGTTCTCTCACTATAACTAATGCAGCATAGTTATTCGCTTCAGCTGACTTATCAAAGTGGATCGCAAAACATCTGGATTTCTTTATTCCTTCCACAACTCTTTTAATACTGTTGTCCATATCAACAATTCTCCTCTGAATGGTGGTGTCCCAAAGCCAGAATCATTTAGCCGCTTAATGGAGTATGGTCCTTATCCCCCAACACAGACTACAGGATACATAACCACCATTCCCCTAATATAACTGGTTTATGTGGTTGAGTGATGTTTTGGGATTTGTACCTGTCTGATTCTCATCCTTTATGTGTAAAACCTACAGTCTGCAATCACGGAAAAGAAAAATTGCCTTCCAGAAACCATTATATACCAGGACTTTGCTGTGGCCAAAAGTTGAAGAACACTGATCTATGTAATCATTAAGACTGAGATCAAACAAAGGCAATTTTGTGTACTATAATAGCCCCCAACCCCAGTCAATTTTTTAAAGGTAAATATTATCATACCTGACCCTCCTAAATATTGCGCAGGCTCAAATAAAACCAATTCTGTTAAGTAGACCTATCAGGGGACAGAACAAGTTTATGAAGAATCTGTAACTGTCAGTGATGCCGGAATCACATTGTCTTGGCGCAACAGGGCTAAGATTAAAATAGCTACAATCTTAAACCAGACTGAAGAAACATGGAAACAATAACAGAAAGAATCTAGTTCACACGAAACCAGCAAGTGCTGTTAGAGACTGAGCACTTATCAGTTTGTTATGATAGTATTTATCCCTGTGAGTAGCAATAATAACAGTAAATCTCCATACATACATTTCTTTCCCTCGAGTCCCGTTCTCTGTTTCGTCTGTCATTCGGTCGATCCATGAATCTTCTGCGCGCGGGTCCCATTGGTGGATACTCTCTCATGCCTGGAATAGAATGTCGATTAAACAAACAAAAATATAAACTGGCTGCAACAAACACATTTATGTGCACATGTTTTAATTACTCTCGTGTTGCAATTTCTTCTTCTGACTCGGATCCCCCAACTAAGGATAGGCCTTCAACCAACTCATGCAGAGTCTTTCTATCCTTCTATTGCATGCAGCCCACCCCATCTTTTTAACTTCTCTCTCTATTTTCCTTGTCTGTTTGTTTTTGGGTATGCCTTTATTTCTATGCTAGTTATAGGTTCTAAAGTTTTCACATTTTCCTACTGAATGCCAACATCTCTTCTGCACCTGTCGGATCACTGAAACTTGTTTAGTTCTCTCTTAGAGTGATTGAAACATGCTATTTAATTCCTTCTATTCTGTGCAGGCACTAGTTAATGAATATTATAGAATCCACAAAACTGACATGTTTGTTAACACGGTGTAATCATCAAAGCTTTCACTTTTATTCAGATCAGTGGTATAAATTATCACACAACAATACACGGAGAATCTTCCACAATAGGAAACATTCTCTTACTTTTAAGGTCTTCTAACTGCAAAGATAATATCTGCATTTGCTTTAGAAGGGACAAACTATAAGGAAAGGCCTCCTCATCTTATTCTGCCAAAACCTAGAAAGCATAACATTAATACTCACAAGGCTCCTCTGGTGGGAAAAAAGAAGAGGGCCGACTGCTTCCCCAAGAAGCATTCGTCAAAAGAGTGCATCTGCCTGAGAGAGGAGGAACTAACAGCCTGCATACAAATAAGACAGATCTGTAAAATGGATATGCACACGAAGACTCAAGTCCTGAAGTGGATGAACAACCAGAACTTTCCATCGGAGCTTACAGCCGGTGATGGCGAAGAAGTAACTGAGTATTATGAATTTGACCTGCTGACTCTGATCACTATGCTCTACTGATAAGGTCTACTGTACTTGTTAAAGAAAACTATTATAAGTATTTACCCTATAATAGTAAAGTAAGATGTTCTTCACCATTCACTGATGTCAGTGTAATAAAGTGTCAATATATTTTTTTTATTGGGGGAGAGGGGGGGGGGGGAGAGAGAGATAATATGACTGCGAAATCATTAGTAGACTATGATGGACAACAATGTTCATCTCTTTATTTTTCATATTTACTCTTTCAATCAGCAAAAAATGAACCTGTAGAATTTCCTGGAAAAAATCCTTTAAAACACGTACACAGATCATTAATAAATCTACATTTTAAGTAGTCCCCATTTTAATTTACTTTTCTTCTTCAAAATCTATACAGATATTTAAAAGGGGTTAACCAGTAAACAGGAACAGAATGAAGAATTAAATTGGATTCATACTCGGGGCAAAAAAAATAATAAAAAAATGTTATCAGGTGACTCTTAAAGTAACCTCAATCACTCAGGTTTCAGGGGAAAAAATTACATCAACTTGGCTCTAAAAAGGCACTGGGGTCATGAGAAATCCATCTAAATGCTACTTCAATTACACTCAATTCATACTTTGACCCCAAAAAAAATGTGCAGGTGCAATCTATCAGCAATTACAGGACTGTGGTACAAAAGGAAATGAATAGATTAGGTCTTTCCCGGGCAATATGGTTAACACATGCGTGAATAAAATAAAATCAGTTTCATTTGCTGTCCTGGCCAGTTTCCCTAATTACCACATTTTAGAATCTCTCAGGCCAGTTTCCCTAAATACCACATTTTAGAATCTCTCAGGCCAGTTTCCCTAATTACCACATTTTAGAATCTCACACATATACAATGCACCATAAATGTCAAACAAATACCTGACCTGGACCCTGCATCTTGTCCTGCCCAAAGCGATGACCATCCATGCGTCTTGGTGGCATTGTGCGGTGGTATGGCATTTCTCTCATCCCCTCACCCAAAGGAGGACCTTGGTTTGGCCTCTGTCCTCTCATGATTTGTCCCCTAGTTGGCTTTTTCATGTTAAGAATGGCTCTTTTCTTGATCAGCTGCACTCTTCTGTTTAGAGGGGTAATCCCTGGTCTTCTTCGCAGGGAACTCTGATTCAAAGCACTGTCAGAATCTGGTGGTCCAATGTCTTTCTTCTCAGGTGGAGGAATGAAATACATCGGTGGAAGTGAGATAGATTTCACTAATGAAAAAAGAAAATGTCAAAAGAGATTATCTATATGACCATGCTTAGATCTTTTAAAGTATGATCACGTAACCAAAGACGAGTGGAAGGTGATTTGTGTGTGTGTGTGTGCCTTGCATTATCTAATTAGAGAAAATACCCAACAACAAATAATTCAGATTAGAGAGTCTTATTACATGTGTGGGTTTCAAAGCCCTATTTGGTGGGGGAAAAGGGAGTAGACAAACTGCCCCCCCCCCCCTACAAGCCTATCATAAGAGGGGACGTTTAAGGGATTTTCTGGCCCAAAAAGCGTACCCTGACGTAAACTACAAAATAAAAGTTAACAGCCTGTTCGAGAACGAATGTCAAAGAAGAAGAATTCTACTGTATCTGGTGAGCCGTTCTGCGGACAGCGACCATACAGGATAAAACCTAGTGTAATGAAGTCATCTTCCTTCTTGTTCACTAACTTTAAGTTCTGGCAGAAAGTCTTGGTTGTTCACCCCATTGCTTTGTGCCAGGGCTTGGTTTTGCTTGTACATCCACTTGACTGGCTTATATGTGTAGATGCACTCCGACTTCGAAGGAAGCCCCCAATTAGTCGACTCCTACCACATGCTTGTTAGGGAGGCAGCGGGTCTATTCTTGTTTTCCCCATAATGGGGCCCCGGAACACACAAAGGGACAATGAAGTCAACTGTCTTGACCTTAATGAATGAACTATACTAAATGATACTCTTTATGGTACAGACCAAACAAACAAAGCCACCCTACAAAAGTTACAACAGCTACAATGCAACATTTTCTAACCTGACTCATCAACTGAGATCTTGACATGGACATCATTTATCTCCAGACGCTTGAAGGACTTGTACACGAGCAGGGATGTGACTGGTGTCTTACACTTCACCGTGGCTTTGCTACAGGGTTTGTTTGATTTGTAGGGAAATGTGAAATAAAAAACATAATTATCAAATCTGAAAGATGACTGCTCTGGAAAAGAGATTTATGGCCTTTTTCTACTTTCATCTATATCTGCTACTTTACTTCAGTCTACAGAATAGTAGGGAAAAATCCTAGACTGCAAAACAGACACTAGCCTAATTTGCTTTAAAAAAAATATACTACTACTAACTAAAAAAACTAGAATAAAAATGCAGCTTGAATGACTGACACAATGAATCAAGGAAGAATCACAATTTGGACACAATTCACAGTCAACTGTACAGCAGTTTTAATTGGACATCATAGAGTTATAAAATAACCTGTTGTCCAATATGTGTGAGTATACTATTACCCACACACTAATCAGTGGAAAAGGCTTCAATATTAACATGTCTTCAGATATCTAAATTTCATAGAGGGGGCAAGAAGTATAGCTGAAGAGAAGACCCCCCCCCCCCCAATCAGTATAAAATAAAAAAATAAAAAAATCTTACCAGTATTAATATTATAATTAAAAAAAAATAAACCAGTAGGTTCAGGAAGATGAAACTATGAAATCTCACCAGTATTATTATTAATAATTTTAACAAATTAAAAAATAAAATAAAAACTCAAGACTTGTCATACCAGGTTACAACAAAAAAAAAAAAAGGGGTTTTGCTGAATGCTTAAGTTAAAAAAGAGTAAATTAGTAAATGGAAGTAAAGTGCATTTCAATAAAAAAAAAATCAATAAGACAAATACACCTTATCAAAAATTATTCCAGGCAAGCTGAAAATTAAAAGTCATAGGTTAGCAAATTAGCAACACAGAAAATTACATATGCAGACTTTTTAGTGCATAAAGATGCCTTCTGATGAGATGTTCTAATTCTGAAGATAACACTGAAGCTAAAAACTCCTTTCATGTGATCCAAGAAGATACGCGAAGCAATCAATGTGGCAGACAGCAACCGTTGATGAACACTTGGGTATGAGGAATTACAGATGTCTGCTTTTGACATATGTTATAACATGCTCTTTAAACCATGATGGCTGCTTTTGGGAGGAGCTCTAATAAAACAAGTTTCCTTATTTCTTACTTCTCAAGCTCGTGATGGGAATAAACTTTACGTAGTTCTTTGCATTTTTACAGAAGTCTGTGCAGAATGCAGCCGTTGTACTCTTGTCTTGAAGTAGAATTTGTGCTATTTTGTTCCACCATCCAAGCACACATGCTGTGACCAAAAGTGTAAGTTTGCACCACCAAGCCTGCTAGGACAGTCAACTTCCTCTTTCAATGCTTCAAGTATCCAGCGAGATACAGGTTCTTCTTCTTTCGTTAGCTTGGCTTCGCCCAGCGACTCTCTTTGTCAGAAGCGTTGTCTGGAATGTTGTATCTGGGAATCTTAGAGGATGTGATCTGTTGTCTCAAGTGCTAGTCCACATTACTGTTAGAGGTTCTGGTGCTTCCTCCTCTGGCCAACTCAACTAGAGATGATGTAGAGTTGCTCTGATGTATTCTGCTCTCCTTAATCTTGGCGTACAGCACTTCATTCAGAGGAGATGATGTTAAACAGAAAAAAAGAATAAGTACCTGGATTCCACCATTAGTGCTGCCACCCAAACACTGAATTCCCGTGCTTCAGAAGCAATACACACAAGTTCTGTTTTAGTACCCAATTTAAAATGCACGTTATCCGTGGTAATGCTGCTTCTGTTTTTTAACAAACCCCATGAAGTTTGTGCACTGCACATTTTGTGGACGATCTTATGCGGACAATAGGATGCTGGATTAAAAAATCCAATATATCTTAGAACCAAGCGTGATGCTTTAGTTAACAGCCACGTCTGTGAAGGGGTCGAAAATAGCAAATCGGCCTTTCACAACTCTCTGCCTCCTTACAAATGGCCATAATACGACTGGATTCATGAAACAGAATGGCATTTTTGACATACCCCGCCTGCATTACTCACCGTTCATCTGGATTGTCGCTCTCAATAATTTCAATTTCAGTAGAAAAGGGAAAAAGTGCCCCGATGAAATCTTTGGTGGCTGCTTTGGGCAGCTTGGTTAAGGTGACAGTCTTCTCGACTAGAGTGCCTGAAACAAGATTGAACATGTTGGCGACGTGTGTGAAGAATGGTGGACAGCTGGCCGATACGGAGCGGGGATCTTGGTGTAGGAAACAAGACTTCTGTTGCCTTCAGTGATCTGTAGTGTTAACGACACTCAAGTATTCTTTAGAGTACTGACGAATGGTAGTGACACGTCAGCAATGCTTTTGCAAGGATACAAGACATGCAGCTATGACATATATGAGAGCATCAAATCAGTGATTTCAGATGAAATCACGGTATAGCTATCCACCCATTCTTTAATCTGACGAGCAATGCGGGGCGAATTTACTCGAATAAATTATCTGGATTTGTTTTAAAGTGCTTCAGTTTCTTCGCAGCGCTTGTGGTTTTGGAGATTCAGGATAATGTTACTATAACAATTTGAAAAAAAAAAAAGATTCTTTGCAGTCTTTGTTTGTCATAAGCATTGCTGATCAGCCTTGATGTGATTCTCCCTGTGTTAAATGACAGGTTGTAAGACTTGACGCGGAAGAACAGTTGAGTAGGTAAAATTCACTTTGCTGTTTAGAAGGAAAATAGCATGGCTTTTGTTAGAACATTAACAATAGTTACCACCGATTGCCAATTTCAAGGCTACAGCCGTGATGTGCAGCTAGTAATTGCGATGAGCCGGCGATAGCTGAAGTTTGATACTTAAGACATCAAGTGACGCTGGATGACTTGCCAGTCTTCTTTCAAGATGAAAAGTGACACTGTATTCAAACTAATCTCAACAGGACAGTTAAGTGAACAAAACAACTTGCATTCTTTCCTTAAACAAAACACACACAAAAAACCACACAAATTAGGCAGCTTTCTGAAGATTATCTGTGCGCTGAGAATGACGCACCACCAGTATACTAAATATGTAATTGCGGCCAGAGAGAAACGGGTCTCACTGAGAGTGCATGTTTTAGCTGAAGTTGGTGAGGCCGGAACTGGATACCCTGGCGCCACCAGGACATGTATTTATTTAATAAACAAATACACTCGAAGTTCCAATGCTCGACATCACATGTGGTAGTATTGCAGTTTCTAGACCAACCTCTTGAAAGTCGTCCAAAAGAGCCATATTAACAACAGCAGGTCCATGAAGATGGACAGCACCTCCTAGCCTGAATTTGCTAAATGGGTGTTTTGTTCGGTAAATTCTGGCATCATTTGACTGGTGACAAATCAGACCATCTGTTCTGTAAATTAGGCTAGGTTGTTGTAAATGCTGAGATAGGAGGCAATCTGTGAAAGACAACCTTTGATGTCAACTGTGCCGATGACGTGCCAAAAACACTTTTGCGACAGTTGTTGATGAGTTTTCTTGCAGTGTTCCCAGCATGTCCTCTGATTAATGACGAAAATTCTTCGATGCACTTTATACGGTGCTTGTCTGTCAATATTGTGTGCATGGAGCAGCGAGCTTATTTATCAAAACCTTTAATCAACTGTTGACACGATGATCTGGACGCTTATGATGCAGAGTAAGTAATCACTCAGTGACTAAACAGGTGAGACCCAAAACTAACTTTCTAGGTAAAGTCAGTTTAGCCGATGACAATTGTTCGGTTCAGTGTCAAAGTTGAGAGTTCTGCTAAATTTTGAAGTTCTACACGATAAACTCTAAATCCAGTGGTGACATCTTAGATCAACAAAAACAAAAAAAGTTAAGGTAATTCAAAAAAGTTAACAAGCTAGTTCTGATCTAAAATACTGATAAATGAACATGTTACTTACTGATTTTGAAATCATGTTTAAAAAAGTGCAGCATTTTAGAGCAAACAGTTGTTTTAACTACATTCTAAAATAATAAAGTATTAGAATAACTGACCCAAGTAAAAAAAAAAAAAAAAAAAAAAAAAATGCAACGCTCAGAAAAGGAACGTAATTTTTATATTTTAAACCCTTGTAATTTAATGAGTGAACTTACACACAAGAACACTTCAGGGTTTCAACCAATCGAATGAAAGTTCTTTTGCAACTGGGTATCGTTTTGCAGGCATACTGGCTTTCCCATCAGCTAACAAAAAAGTGTCTTTTGACAACTTCGTGTGCTGTTTTTAACATTATACCTCCCTAAATAAAAGTTTAACTATTTGTGCCCTTGCTAGCATGGTGACATGTAAGACGTCCACCTCTAGCATGCACAGTTCTGATTCATTTAGAGTGAACAGATGGATGGTTATTCCCGACTTAATACTAGGGGAGCCACAGTCGGGTAATGACAGGTAAGTTTTCTGATGGCTAAGTTTGAATCTGTCTCAAGGTAGATTTCTGTTTACAGATGGCATCAGTTCCTGAAAACATGGAGAAAGCAATAGTGGCTGTCATTGATGATGACCACATCATCCATAGAGTGTAGACTCATCATTAAAATTATGGGGCTAACACATGACTGACCATTTACCCCAAGAAACCTTTTAGGACTACAAACACTTTAAAAGGCTCAGCAGAATTTTTTCATGGCTGAAACGATTTGAACTCTGATAAAAACAATTTAAAATATTTAACATTAAGATCATTCCTATATGTTGCATGTTGATTCTGTATTTAATTAAGAAGGTATAGTTTGCTGTTGATAAGTTGTAGATATGTCTAAAACCAACGGAAACTCAGTAAGCTGAGAAAACTCTGGGCTTTTTCTTCAAGATCTGATGAAACAGTGCGAGTAGCAAGAGTCACTGGGTTTAGTGAAGACCTATGGCAAATGTGAACTGAGCGTGAAACTCAAGCTAAACCTCGGTCACATAATTTAACCTTCACCCAAGTCCGAAGTAAGTTTAGTTGTTCGTATTCACTCCTACTGTATAGAATATGTCAGTTCCTGGCACTAAAAAGTGCTGTGGTCAGATGCTTTACTAACTGTACATTTTTGTAAGCTCGTGAGCTGATTTATAGATATGTTGCCATAGAGACGGTGCTTAGGTTTTAGTAGTCTCGAATCAGTCTCTTGTAGATGGACAAGCATATGGCATTATGACAAGGCTGAAATATGCATTTTGGGTTTCCATGTGTCCACAATAAATGGCTAGGAATCAGCATGTTTGTCTACACTAGAGAGCTGTTGTGTAAACTCACGGGTATTTGTCTGACCCCCTAGCAATGCTAGTCTGGCTAACAGTTAATACCTTACTGTACCAAAATTTTGCTTTTCTAGTTGCCACCATATTTTGTAATCAACAGCCATGACAGTGTGTATATGCTGATGTATATTTTGAGTGCCGACATACATTAATATTTATGTCAGCAGTACTATGTAGCTGTCGCAATCACTTCTTGGCGGTACTTGTGTGCGAAAGAACTGCGGCTACCAGTATCGACCTGCTATGTGACCCCCCATGCTGACCCGTTTCTAGACATCCTCAGCGCAGAGTTAGCCCTTGCTGCCCAAAACATTACACACATAAATACTCACCCTTTTCACCCTTGGCATCAAATATTTTCTTGGAAAGGAACTTGTCAAACATCAGAAAAGCTTTGAGAAATAAGGTTGAAAGAAAATGTACATAAACTGTAAGGTAACGAAAATATTCAATTTAAATTAAGATGGTCAATTGCTCCTTGAATAATAAAAATCATACAATATAAATTACAGCAATATCTCATCACCATAGTGTAGTAGGTCTTTTACAGAACACTGCTGCACAGTCCATTATTAACAAAAAATCTCAGTCCTTTGCCAGTTTTGTCAAAGGTGTCTCCAACGCCCTGTGCCTATCTTTTTTGCAGTCAATATTCACTTTGTCTTCCATGGTCTAGGCATGATGTACCTTGATTTTCTGCTTTATGAACTGCCGAAAATGCACAGCTCACATCTGTATGTTGCCACAGACAAAAATGCATAATTTATCTGCTGGTGTTGCAACACAGGCTCGATGCAGTGTTTAAATTTGTCTGCATTGCTGCAGTTTTCTTGAAAACACCCTTAATGGTGTTTAGTAACATAGAAAAAAGTCAAATGTGAAATTTTTCACTTTGGAAGGGGGTTGGGGGATAATTTAATATAATACATTCCTTTCTACCTGGTGCATTTTTTTCAATGTAGGGCTAACCCAACAACAAACTATTCTCCCCACACATCTTGATTTTCATGAAATTAATTAATTCTCTTCACAGCAAGCCTGTCACATCACATAATCCTATTTTTGTATTTTTATAGTTCACGAGTTTTACTCTGTCATTTAAGATCGCTAGAGGATTCCTCTCACATTAAGTGGTGCAACTGCTTCATATTTTCAAAATAATTTAACTAAGGTTAACCCACCAGGGAAGGGATTTATATGCTATTTTCATACACACCACATACACAATTACATAACTGCTGGCCACTGAGAAAAAAAAAATACACACCTTTGCATTCTTTCTTGGATTCAGTACCGTCCTCTTTTCCCCCAGTATCCTTCCGCACCACCTCAATGCTCAACATGTTATGATGAAAATCCATTCGCAGCAATTTACCAATGATGGTTGCAGTTTCCTTTTGAGTAGCTACATACAGCTCTGCTTTGCTATTGAATAAAAAAAAAACAAATCTATTAAAATGGTACTGAACAAGCAAATTTAATTAGTCTAACAGAAAGATCTGACCAAACAGTCTTAGACCCGTTGACAGGGTTACAAGATGATAGATAGATCACACAGGAAGTAATAAGCTAAATTTTTGTTGCAAAAAAAAAAAAAAACTGAACAAAATGCATAAGATTCTCTCACAATATAACTCACTTTCTCTTTTACACAGCTCTATATAATCTCCATCCATCACAATTACCTTATTCAGATATGAAACGGGGAATGCAAACTTTGCCCGTAAAAGCTTTTGGATCCTCGCGCAATGCACTGAGATTCTTCAGACTCAGGCTTTAGTCAGAAGTAGAACAGAGCACTTATGTACCATGATGTTGATTCATTGTTTAAACCTAAACAAAAGCTAAATATGGGGAGCAAGACTGGTGCAACAGTGCTTATGAATGGTCCAACCTAGTTTGTTGACAGCTCTACATCTTTTGATTTGTGTCAGAATGTGTTGGATGAAAGAAGTTTTGTGGATTTGTGTGTGTGCCAAACTCGGAGTAATCAATTACAGAGTTTTATTAATGTCTTGATGTAAGCTACAGATGTAATCATCTTGCCTCATGACATCACACCCAGAAGAATCACATCATTCCTGTTGATAAGATTTGTACTGAATTTCTTTCTTTGTCAAGATTGTGGATGATGACATTCCACTGGTTGCATTTTCATCTCGGGCGTCATCATCTGTAATGTTCCTGACCAGAACATTCTCTCCTCAGCATAAAAAAAGCTGCAACAATTCATAATAAATGACTTTCCTTTAAAATATGTGCAGATTTTTTAGACTCTGAGGAATACATTTAGAGCAAACTTTTGAAAATCTAAGGTCTGATAGTATCAAAGGTATTCTTTTATTAAATGAAAGCTGCAATGCTAGTGATTGTAATACACCTATCCCCCTGAACAACGGAATCAGTCTGTTTCACTAGGTCTGGGCTAGTAGCTAAGTTAGAATGTGGCAAATGTTCATCTACTTTCTGAAGGTTTAACTCTCTGAAACCAGCAAACGATGTTACCATTACACTTCAATACAGGCATCAAATTTAAAGTGTGCAAAAGAGTGCTTCTTTATTATTTTGGGGAGAGGGTGGGGGAGATGTAGGGAATTACTTCCTGAATGTTACAGATATAAAGATATTGAAATATTCTGCCGCAGCAATCATTTACTTCACCTATTGTATAACCATTATTGACTGTTCAAGGTGATGGAGATGGATGAATTATTTAAAGATTTCTGATACAAGCTATAACTGCAAAATGAGAACTCAATTTTAAGTCAAAATTATATTCATAACCGAAACATTCTAGCAAAACTAAAGCAAGAGGAACAAACAAAAAATATAATTACCCATGCCGGCCTTCGCTTGGGATATACAGCAGGCTTTCCGAAGCTAGTTTACACAGTATACTCATGTAGTTCAGCTGCAAATCCTCTGCATGCAAGGGATAAACCTTCAGCTGCCATTTACGCTCTGTGAACACAAAATGACGAATTAATGACGATTAAATCTAACTAAAATAAAACATCCTTTGGAAACTAGAGACACCTGTGAAATTAGTATTGTAGTAAGCAATCTACACACAAAAAAGCAACAAATAAGACAAAAATTGAATCGCACAGAAATTATTATTAATAAATACTAACAAATGTCCCACAGATTAAGATAAGAGAGAGGGTAAAAAAATAAAGCATAAATGAAAAGTTGTAACCGTATTGAACATCTGAAATAGTACTTCACAAACACAAGGAGGTATTCATACATTTTAATTTTAAACATGTTTACATGAGCTAAAAAATTTACTATATTAACTACTGAGAGAAATACCCACACCTTAAGGAAATTTAAAAAATGGTCGGAACAAAAAAATCACATGACACAAACTACGAACTGTAAGCAAAACAGATTACAAATAACTCATTTTATAAACACACAAGAAAGCTGTCTTTAACCCTAAAAACACGACATCAGCCTAACGGCAAAGTAACCAAAAAGAAGTTGGGCCTGATAACAAAAGCCTTGAGATTGGCTGGCAGGGTTCACACTAACCAGTCAGATGACTTCTCGCATTTCTTGCACATGTGAGCTGTTCAGCTGTTCCATGATGGCTTTCATGAAAGCTTGTTGTGCTTTGTAATTTTATATCAGACTTTTCGGGTGGGGGGTACTTGCGCCAAACAATGGTGAAAAGAACAGTTGCATTAGCAACCAAAACACAGAAAGAGAAGGAAAAGGATTAGTTGTAGAACCATGTGCCGTGCCCGACCTGTCTCGGGGTCTACATGGGCCTTGCTTCCCAAAACACAAATGTTAGAACTTATTCAGGCTTCAATCATCAGAAAAGTTTACCAAACTGTTCAATTTAGTTGTGTTTGTCCTAAGGAATTAAAAAAAGTTGCATGCATAAATATGCAAATTCTATAGCTAATTCGAATAAATGTTCAGATGTAAGTGTGATTCATAGAGATGGGTATTTTAGTCAAAATTTAAAAATTGGGTTTTTTACTTTTAAACCAAGACAGCTGAATAGAGGTTGAAAACCCGAGTCCAACGGTACCTCAATGAAGTCTGTATGTCAATTCTAAGCGGAGATATTCACATTTCAGTGACGGAAAGTGCGCCCAAAAAATTTATAATGGAAAACACAGAAATAAAATGGCGGCATGTTCCCAAGTAAAAACTGGACCTCATTTTATCATGTTTAATGTCAATAACTCTCAAGTTTTTGGCTGAACCCCTTAGCAACCATCTGTCATTGCTTTCAGGACAGCAAGCTCTAACTAAAGTTGTTGCCTTTTAAGAAATATGATGTGATGCAAACCTAAATAACATAAAAATGAGTCAATTTATCAGTATTAATTAAATACCTTTTGAATTTATTATTATTTACTGTAATATATATATATATATATGTATATATATATATATATAATATATATATATATATATATATATATATATATATATATATATATATATATATATATATATATATAATAACTATTCTTCCTGCTATGATGCATCTCTTTCTGTTTGTTGAATAATGCTTTTTCTCGCACTGTCACTTGTGTGTGTGTGCATACATCTGACCAAAATTTGCTTTATTCCACTGTTTAAAAAATGTTCAATAGCAAGTGGATCGAATTCATTGCATCGTTACTGGTTTAGTATGGCTTGGTCTTTCTCCACATAACTGAATGGCTAGCGCATGCTAAGAGCCTGAATACCGTAGCTCCAGCAATAGCCCTCAGAGGTCTCCGCTAACCAAAAAAATTCATTTTTTTAGTTGAACAACGCAATGAACGTACCGCAACCTTCTGAGCGCGAGGTTAATGGCTTGACCACTTTGCTACGGAGACCCCCATATTGTTTTATAACCAAGTGAAATGAGAGCCCCTCCTACTGATTTAACATAATCCTTTTTTCAGTCTTTGCGAGTTATTCTTTCATTTTATTGATGATGAGGACTTTTCACCATAGTGTTCCCCTCTTCTTTGTAACTAGTCACAGCTCGATATTTTATTTACTAAAATTATTAAATAAGCTCCTTTGTGATTCGCTTTGGATTTATGTTGTGTTTTCATGGAGCAGGATTTCATAAGGTAAGAGGAAAAATAACATTTAATTTTTTTTAAAGTATCTATGTCCCACGTGATCTGTTTGCTGGCTAGTATATATTAGTATATATATATAAAAAAATGATCAAAAATTATTAATCATAAGTTGTAAGTAGCCCTAGCTGTAAGTAAGTAAACTTATGCAGTTAAAGAAATTATAAATATAATATTGTATTATTAATTTCATTAATCATCAAATTTCTAAATAAGCATATCTAAAATCTAAGGAAGTAAAAACTACAATTTTAATACTAATACATAGTATCAGTCATAAATAGTACTTGTTATACTATCTAAGACAATAAAAATGCACCACAAAATCATAGTGCAGAAATATGTGGCAGACATTTTTTAAATGTCAATCTGGGAGCGGAGAGTTGGGGTCAGCAGGTAAAAAGGCCTTAAACAGGTAAGGTCCTTCATGCTTAATGATAGTTTATGGCTTAAAAAATTATATATTGGCTAAAGATTCCAAAAATGATTTAAAAACTACCTTAATGTGATTTTAAAGTATATTAAAAAATGTTCAAACCAATGCCTGTGTCCATTTTCAACACTCAAAATACCCTAGCCAAATGGTCCATGTCAAAAACGTGCTAAAACATTATTTTCAGCTATTCAAAACTATTAAAACTGATGTCAAATGAAAGTTAAAGACAGTTAAATGATTAATAGAAATAAAACTTGCATTATTTTTTACCTGTTTTGATAAATAACTAGATATTAATCAATCAGTTCGTTTAGACCATGTGGCGGCCATTTTGAAAAATTCCCGATTTAGCTCTCAAGACACGATTGGGAACAAATTCAAACTTTCAACTTCGTCCTGTACAGATTCCAACAAAACTGTCCACCTTTATGTAAAAATGGACACAGAATCCAAAAATGTCACTTGAGAGTATTTAATTTTACCGAAAACAAGAGATATTATAGAAAATTTACTTCCCGCATGGCAAATAGTGAAATTTATTTGGCTGAACAAAGATCGCATTGTAAGTTAGGTGTCGTTTTGTAGAGCGACCTCTTCTGAATAACTTTGAGCCTATGTATTCGATTCAGAACAGCCAGTATTGAGCGACGGGTTTTCAAAATAACTGATAAGCAAAGAAGCCATTTTTTCATGGACCACCAACTCCATCTTGTAACTAAGCGATCTCTACTTTCGTTTTAAAGTGGGTCACCTTCTTGATTAGCATACCTAATAGAGATTGTGTCATTCAATTTTTGAATATGTTAATTAAATGTTATAAAACAAAATTGTAAATTGAGACAGCTCCCTTCTGAAGGCTTTGTTTTCTTGGCACTGAAACCCCAAATAAGCCCCAGTCTCTAAAGGGTGTAAAGTTAATGCAGGGTGAGAACTGATTAGCAACATCAGACGGTGATAATCTAAACAATCTGTGGTTGTGACATCACACACAAAAAGGGGAACAAGAAAACAAAGAAAAATTGTAGGGGAAGAGAGGCAGACAAGACATAAAAGAAATGGTGCTGGACAGTTTGGCACCATGACATGGAAGAAACATCTTTATTGCAAATGATTTACAGCGCATGAGGCAGAAGGCATCAGACGTACATAATTTAGACATGGACTACCAAAAAAATATATACTATTAACAGAAACATAAATGTAGAGGAACATTTCTCAGGATGGCAGAAAGAAGAAAAGTAATACTTAATACTTACTTCGCAAGCTGTTAACATCTACAACTGGCGCCTTTGGCTTCTTCCTTGGCCTTGTTGAGCTCAAAGTTTCAGCCTTAACAACAACTTGGTCTGCCGCGGGTTTTTTACCACCATCGGATTCATAGTTCTTGATGCTTTTCTCTTTCGAATCTTTCCCAGCCTTGTCTTCTTTATCAGAATCTTCTGATTCTCCTGCTACATCCAGCACAACAAAGTTCTCATTGCCACCATTTCCACTGGCTGTGACTTCTACTTTGACAGCAGGTTCACTTGTCTCTGTTTGCATTGACTCTTCTTCGGCACTCATACTGATGGCCTTCTATCTCTGTAAAAATCATGTGCAAACACAACGTTTAATAAATGTCCAAATCCAATAAATGTGGCGGTATTTACCAAAACAGTTGAATTTTTTTTTTCATTTTCATGTGGAAGACCAACAAAAATCTTTGAGGCCCCGTTAGGGTATATTTTCCACCCCAATAATTTACGACCGTTATTCGGAGGATAGCCAAATCTTTAATTAGTAACAAAAAGAATAAAAAAAAGTCATTATAATGAAATGATAAGTATTAAGTTGCATAATATGTACAAATTATAAATAAACATCTGAAATTCCCATAAAGTGCAGAACCAGCTTTTTTAGCTGTTGTAGTTTTTCTATGCAAATTTTTACATTCAGTAGTTTGCCACTGTTCACTGAGCGACGAACGGTCAGCTCTTGGTTCCATTTTCAAAACTAACGCAAGACAAATCATCAGCAGCTGGGATCAAACCTGGCACTACGAAGCCTGTTTTCAACACCAAAACCAAAGCCACAGACTACACTAAGAATAAAGTATAAAAAAGACTTTCTTATATTTTTTCTATCCCCCCCCCCCCCCCCCACCCCCCCCACCCCCCCCCCACCCCCCCCCCCCCCCCCCCCCCCCCCCCCCCCCCCCCCCCCCCCCCCCCCCCCGAATTTGTAATTGAAAATTATGAAACATCGCAAAACTAGCAAAATAATTTTATGTTAAATGATGGTCGTATTGGAAGTATAAAAAGGTAAGTCGTGTTAATACTATTTTCCAACAGCACTGGAATGGAAGTGGAATCATCATGCCCTCATTGTATTAAATGTGAAACATTGCAAAACTAGAATTAAGAAAAACTTTTAATTTTTTATGCTAAATTGCCTATATGGTCAGACTTAAAATCTAAAAGGTGAGTAAATTACTGTTTTCCAACAGTATTTATTAAAATAATAAAAGCTGAATCATGCTAAAAAGAGGAAAAAAAACGGTCAGAATTAAATCTGACACACGTGAAGTAGGTTCATCCTTCTTAGCATACTAACAAACTTGCGAAGCCGAAGCCTGCTTTGTAAATATTTTTAATATTTAGTGATAAAACCCGATTGTGATGAACATTTTCTATTTAATTAATAATTTACTAATAATTGTATTGTTTAGAGGCGCTGTTCATAAAGTAAGGTTAACTGCCGTTGAAAAAAAATGTCCTTTTTGGTTAGCTAATATAAATAAGTTCGACAAATCTGGCCATCGCGATCGTGCAGTGCCGCAAACCTGCATGCAGACAGTTTAGTTTTTTTGTGTTAAATTAGTCATTCGTTTACTCAATCGAATACAAATACGTTCGTGTAATACTTTAACAAACATTTATTAGTCACAATCACATACTGCTGATCTTGATCGAGTGCTCACCAAGAAATAAAATATAACAAAATAGGAAAAATCTGCGTATACGGATCGTCGCTCCACGGAACGTTTAACTCTAACAGGAAGTTGATAATGTAGACGCCAGCCAAAACTACTAGCGCCACTGATAAGACTATGAGAGTTATCTTTCGTGGCATTCCCAGATTTTCTTCCTTTCAAGGAAATAAAAATAATTTAGGAAATACCAGGTCCTACCAAGTTAAAAACGGCTCCTGTTCTTTTTCGTCTCTATGTTTACTCATAAAAGAGTGATTAGCAAGGTATGGTGGTTTATTCCAATTCCAGTTGTCCAACAAAATTTCAAAATTTGATCCTTTAGGACGAAATTTGTTGTTATTTGAAGCCCCACCCTGGCTTTTCCCAGGGGCCGCAATATAGGCAGGCCATAAATATGGCCAATTGTGTGAACGCGGTTTCTGGGACCTCTCCACGGCGATCCTCATCCACATGGTGGCACTTTGTGTCATCGGGTCTTTATCGCGTGTGTGATGTCCTAGTGGGGTAGAAATTCAGTCAGTCAATCAGTTCTCTTGGTGCTGATATCTGTGGGTTTTAGCTGATTGTTGCTGGTGCTTACCTCGTGCTGGTCGCTACACTGGTGCCCTGTTGCCTGCTTGGTTGCCCTTCTGTAAAGCCGCCGGGAAAAGCTAAACAAACACCAAGTCACAACGTCTCCAACAATGTTCCTTTTCAGGACAACCAGGGCCGTCACAATCTGCTGTTGTGATCCAACCCTTTTTCCCCCTCCTGTCCACAGCGTGTGGAGAAGTAGAGTTAAGATAGACTGCAACTGGGAGAAAGTTGCTCGAATGTGCCAGAAGATTTGAAAGTATTTGATGGTGGTTTACAGACTGGCTGCACCTTTAAAACCACATCCGATTTTACTAAAAACCCTAATTAGTCGCTTTTATGACATGTGCAGGTGTGTATGTGTGTGTGTGTGTGTGGGGGGGGGGGGGGGTTTGGGGTATATATTATGGGTGTGTATGTGTGAGTGCCGGGGGGGGGGATCCTCCCTCCTACTCACCCAGGCAGAGTCCCTTAACCCAGACTGGAAAGCTGACGGGTTGCACCTACCGGGGAAAAAGGGTTATAGCGCCCCGACCTGCTTGGCAGGCACGTCTCTGAGCATATGAGGTATTTTATAAGGATTTCAGATCCGACTCTGAAATGCTTCCTCGCCCTCTGTGACCACCGCCAGTCAGTCTTATTGGGTATTCACAGCTAACCTCTATATCTAGAGACCGTTCCACAATCCGCCACCAGTGGACGCGCTGGGTTGGGGATGGTCGCCTCAGCTTTACCCAGCTTTGGACAGCAGTCCATCTATGAGACGGCAAACTCCGAATATAAACCGCAAAGTTCAAGGTGGGCCAACGTGCCGAGGAACTGGATGGCCACGGGTGAGCGTTGAATTGACTTCACATTTGTCTCCCAGTCGTCGGGTTTAGATGTTAAATGGACTGTTCTGAATGACCATGGGAGTGATCACTCCCACCCATGTTCAGTCCTGATTTCTAAACCCAGTAAGGTTAAGGCTGAAAGCACGCAAGACCTTCCGGTATAAGTGGACCAACAACCTACTTGGACGCCTCAGACAGGGAGCATGCAACATAACTGCCAGAACTTATTTTCTACAGCCCTGATGGTGGACTCTAGAAGTAGAACAGGCGTGGAAGGCAAAGAGAGCCGTAGGAAAGCAGCTAAAGAAAAAACGACAAACACACTCAAGTTTACTGGAGGAAGTAGAGATGACGGAGAATGTGAGAAAAGATAAGGTGAAGGTTTTCCAGCACCCTGCTGCACAGGCCAAAAGAGCAAAGTGAGAAACTTTTGTAAATCTTCTTCTTCTTCTTCGCGTTCACCAGCTGTACACTCTGGCTTTTGTAAATGATATGGAAGGCAATAGAACATTGGGGGAAATTCTGGAAACTGCAAAGGCAGATGCAAAGAAAAGATCGGCCTCTGACAATGGGAACAATTTGTAGAGACGATGGTGTGCATATGACAACAGACAAGGAGAAAGGGGAGGCTTTTCTCCATAGGTTTATAGCTCAGACAGATCATAACGATGTAGACATCGGGGATGCAGTTAGAGAGGAGTTAGCAAAAGATTTCAAACAAATTTTGAAAAAGGCAGAAGATACTACACCAGGGCCTGATGGAGTCAGGTATGGCCACATGAAGACTTTGAGCGATGAAGACCTGCCAGAGATGGCCGAATGTTTTAACCATAGCATTAAGACAGCATAAGTACCGCAAGACTGGGTACGCAGATATCTAATCCCACTACCAAAACCTTTTAAGGATCATTCAAAGCTCAGTGGTTTTAGAATCACCACCTTACAAAACACATTTGGAAAGGTCTTAGAGAAAATAGTTGCTGTAAAGCTGCAATAATTTTTGGAAAGGGGGAAGCTCCTCCCAAGAGGTCTGTGAAGCTACAGGCCAGGAAAATACACATGGGCAAATACAGCCACTTTTTCTTTTGACGTCTATGAAGGGTACCAGAACAGACAGGAAACTATGGCGGCAGGACTGTTATCTCGATGTACCTTACTATAACATAGTAAGATACGTCATTTTGATGACTGCACTGAAGGAGAAGGAGGTCAGTCCATGGCTAGTGAATCGAGTTGCAGCTGTCCTGTATTCACGTCGGGTGGCTTTTCGACTGGGCTCATGGACCTCAGAACCATGCAGTTTTGCCCCAAGACTGCCACAGGGATTCGCCAACTCGCCTGTGCTCTTTAACGTGTATACGAGCAAGATTGCAAACCTATAAGCACCAGGAGTTGGAAGGATACTGACTTTTGCGGATGATATACTTGCATATAGGCAGGGGGAAGAGAGGGAACAAATAGCACGAGGGCTACAAGCAGTAGACAAAGTGACTGAGTGGTGTACAGAAATGAGGATCGTTAAAGCTAATGTCCCAAGTCTTACGATAGATGGTAGAAACGTCATCAGAGAGAGTAAACTGAAGTATCTGGGAATTACATTTGACAGGAGCCTGTCCTTTAAGGACCATGTGGAGAGTGTTGTGACAAGATGCCAAAACAGGAATCAGCAGGATCTTGTTCTGATGAACCCTGGGACGTTGCTTGTCTTAGCCGCGAAATGAGAGACGACCAGCAGTGGTTGATTATGCATGGGACTGCTTTACCGTCTCAGGACGGACAACTAGAGCGCATACAAAACTCCGCGGGGTCAGCTGTATATTCATCTATAAATCCTTGGCGAAGTCATATCTCAGGGTAACTGCAGACAGAACCACCCTTGCAACGAAGCTCTGTGTGCAGTTAAGGGAGCCAGCTGATAAGAGGGAAGTCATGGATGGCTCAGGCAGAAGACACAGTCAGACAGGTTTTGCAGAGAACATTAGGCGAGGAGAAGTCAAAGTGCCAACCTGAGTCAGACTTGTGTAGGGTCATAATCACAATTAGCCGGGTTTATTCAGATAAATGCTCGCTCAGAGGATTTGAGGCCCAGTGTCAAGAGGCAAATGAAGTGCTTAGGTTTAAGCAAGTCAGCAAGTTACTGCTCACATACATGATTGTAACTGACAGGAGCTGATCCTTCGTGCAGA